CCACATACCGTCATTGACTGCCTATTTTTTGCCAGTGTTTTCGTAGATTGAACTCATACCGCAATCGGCTCAGTTGTTATCTCACGAGAACGTTTCGAACGTGAACTTTGCTTACCTGGCTGGCTATCAAGCAATATAATTCGTGGACCGACCCTTTCTGAAAACGATCGACATCTTTGTATGTGACATGAACGTATAAGGCGCGATTCTTGCCAAAACTTTCTTCGCAAAACACCGCATTCTGTCACGAAGAGCGAGCAATGTCGCGTTTCTCGTCCCCAGTTTTTATGGTCTACGCATGGAACGCCTGGGACCATGACTCCCCTTTTGGCGACCAAAACGCTAGCATTTTCAGACTCGGGCTTTCCTACGGAAGCCCCAGTAATAACCGAGTAATAACTACGTTTTTAATATCTCCTTGTCCTGTAACAACAGCATACCAAGTTTCATCGGAAATCTATGGCGTGTTCTTTTACTAGGGAATCACCTTAAATCGAATTCTATCATATCAATGAATGATAGCTGAAAGTGCTCTGAACATTTTATGGACTTTGCATAAAAACCGAAAAAGGTACGAAGAGTGCAGCGTAGCGCAGAGTGCAGACACCTTAAACCTTAAACATTCCTTATACCCAATTTAATTCAATATATTTTCTTGTAGATGTTGATCTCCAAGGAATCAAAGAAACGCTGGAAAAAGACCTAGCTTCTTGCCAAATGCACGACATTTGCCACAAACGCAGTTCTAGTGAAGAGCCGATAGTAAAGTTTTTTCACCTTTCAACCAAGAACAAGAGAATGATGCAACTGCTACACCTCGTCCAGCCCAGTCGTCTTTTTCGTGACATGTGGCAACGGTGCATTCCGAAAGCAGTCAAGATTTCCGAAGATGAAGCTGGATCAAGTGGGACATTAACGGTCGACAAAGTGCAAGAGCTTTTGTGGACACCTGCTTATCGGAAATGGCGCAGCACGTGGGAAAGAATCCTTGGTGGAGAAATCAGTCTTCAAGAATTGGATAAACTATTCGACAGGTTTAGAAACGATCCCAGAACTTTGGAAATCGAAATTGGAGCAGTCGTGGCCTGCTTTTCCGATGAAGAAGATATTTATCCTTCTGTTCGTCAACGAGTTGCTCAAATCGAACAGTATCACAAGCTGAGAGAGTTTGAAGGGGCTGCAGCAGCAATCTTGGAATTTCAAAAAACCATGGATCTTGGAGGAAACTTCGACTTGCTTCATGACTTTTGCGGCCAGGTACATTTTGAGTATATTACCATTTATATGAGGCTCGATTTCTGGGGAGAAACGCGGGTTCCTTTCCCAAACAATGGCTGGTAATCGAGCCTACGTTAAGGGATTAAATCACTGCTGACGTTGCTGACAGAGCTAATATTTACACCGTGGAATTTTATGTCACTTACCCCGAGAAATAGAGAAAGATGCTTAAGTGAAAATGGCTTTCATAACTGTTCTGTTTTTGTTTCACTAAGTAGAGGCGGCGTGGCCTAGTGGTTACTTTGCTGGATTTGTAATCTGGAGGTCCAAGGCTCAAATTGTTCTCCCTGCCACTAGATGCATATGTAACCAACTGGTCAGCCTCCCAGCAGCTGGGATTTTTAAAACATTTATGTTCACTTAACAATATTTCAGGGTCCTCAATTAACACAGCAGTGCTAAGCACTTCAACACTGACTTAAGGTAGTACATTTATCTTATTAAATAGGAGAATGACTTTCTTAATTAATATGAATATGTTTAATGTTTCCTTGGAAGTTGAACGAAGACTTTCTGCGACGCCCGCTCGGTGCTATCGGTGATGATGTTTTTGACATCGGAGAAACCCTTGAACGTCTACCGCAACCAATGATTAAATGCCTGAGGACTGTCAGTGATTGCAAAGAATACATCCTCTGGCTTCGAAAGGAAGTGAAAGGTGACTATTACTTATTTAATTGTCTACGCCTTTCCTTCAATTCCATAATATTCTCACTCACTTTTAAGATACCTGGTAACTGAATGACCGACCGTCTTACCAGTAACCCGCATACTTATTTATCTCGAAAAAGATATATTACCTTTTTTTTAACTTGTTTATTCCTTCATTCATTCACCCACCCACTCACTCACTCACTCACTCACTCACTCACTCACGCACGCACGCACGCACTCACTCACTCACTCACTCACTCGCTCACTCGTTTGCTCGCTCGCTCGCTCGTTCATTCATCCTGATTCATTTATTTCTTTAGCTATTTATTTATTTATCTATTGATTTATTTCTTTATTTATTTATTAAGGCAGGGAAGAAGTGAAAACACTAGTGGACCTCGCGATGATGTCTGCTGGAGAGAGTGACATCGAAACTGATCGTGTCTCGTGTTTGCACACCACTGCCCTTGGTTTTGCTCCTTTCATATTTGAACTGGACAAATCCACTGACTTAAGTCAACTGATTGATGTTTGTGAAAGAGTGTGGCAGGAGATCGAGGGAAACACCCTTTTGCCGGAGCAGCTGGTAAAATATTGCTTTTACTGTTAGAAACTATTAGCGCCTATAACCGTAGCTTTCTTTACGGAGACTTAATTGGGTTGTTCAATCCTTTACTCCATCAAAAATCAAATTGCTAATACAAAAATGTTAGATACTTTTTCTTTCTGTACCCTGCCCTCCTTTCCTCACCCACTCCTCCAGATTATTTAAGAAAAAGTTGCATCATATGCATGTAGAAGCATATCGTTGACACTGATTTGATTGACTGAAAANAATGTTTAAAAAAAGAAAAGAGATTCTCAACTTACAAACGAAATGAGCATTATAATTTTTATTTAATTTTTATTTGAATCATAAAAGAATCAAGTGAATGTTATTTCTTATTGTACTAGTTAATGTTAAACCCTTATCGTAAACAGACCAATACCTCCCTTTGGAGAGTAAGGCGCAATAAAGATATACTATACTATACTATACTATACTATGCTATGCTATGCTATGCTATGCTATGCTATGCTATGCTATGCTATGCTATGCTATGCTATGCTATGCTATACTATACTATACTATACTCACTCACTCACTCGCTCACTCACACTCGCTCGCTCGTTCGCTCGCTCATTCATTCATTCTGATTCATTTATTTCTTTAGCTATTTATTTATTTATTTATTTATTTATCTATTTATTTCTTTCTTTATCTATTTATTAAGGCAGGGATGAAGTGAAAACACTAGTGGACCTTGCGATGATGTCTGCTGGAGAGAGTGACATCGAAACTGATAGAGTCTCGTGTTTGCACACCACTGCCCTTGGTTTTGCACCTTTCATATTTGAACTGGACAAATCCGCTGGCTTAAATCAACTGATTGATGTTTGTGAAAGAGTGTGGCGGGAGATCAAGGGAAACACCCTTTTGCCGAAGCAGCTGGTAAAATATTGCTTTTCCTGTTAGAAACTATTATCGCCGATAACCGTAGCTTTCTTTACAGAGCCTTAAGAATTGGGTTGTTCAATCCTTTACTCCATCAAAAATCAAATTGCTAATACAAAAATGTTAGATACGTTTTCTTTCTGTACCCTGCCCTCGTTTCCCCACCCACTCCTCCAGATTATTTAAGAAAAAGTTGCACCATATGCATGTAGAAGCATATCGTTGACACTGATTTGATTGACTGAAAAAATAATCCAGTGATCCACCAGAACGTTCACGTCTCTCTACACAAGACGAGATTTCTATTAGGATTACATTTACTTTGTCAACTCCCAAGCCCGTACTGAGGAAATAGTGGTCGTGAATTCAAGTGCTAATAGACTGAGCCGAAGAAGAACTCCAGAAGCTTAAAAATAATTACAAGGAAAGAAAAACAAACAGATAATCGGTGGATTAAATATGAAATATTTCTTAAATATTTTTTTCGTTCCAAACAAACCTACGTACAAATTTGGTCTTATCATTAACTGTTACGGTTAAATTACTCTTCAGTTTCTTTCTTATTTTCATTTAACTATTTGTTTGTATCTTTTTGTGTGTGTGCATTTCTTTTTCTTTTTTTTCTCCTTGATTATGCATGTTGCAACCAAGGTAAAGCATATCAATATTTTTTCTAACTACCCAGCTTGTTTAGTTTTCTAGCTATTCTGAGTAGTTTGTTTTTGCCTAATTAAGTTAATTATTTTTGTGCTGGTTTTTTTGCGTTTTCTTGTAAATCTGGCAAAATAAAATGGTTGTTTGTTGTTGGATTAATTCATGAGGATCTATTAAAAGACCGCTTAGGCAATAATGACCACTGTTCTTTTCATTATACCTGTCAGTAGACTAATATGTCACAAGAGATTTAATCCAAATAAATTTAAAATACATTTTTGTACAATATTATGAACTACATTGAGTACATGTTCGCAAGTTATCGTGTAATCTAACAATGAAAAATCCTAAGTATTTGGTGTTTATTTTGGTAGAGGGACATCAGCAGACATCTTGAGTGGCTTAAGGGTGTCAAGGATGCCCATGCCATGTCTTCTCTCAAGTTGGCTCAAGCTATCAACGAAAGAGGTGTCTACTTCGTTGGCAAATTGGAAAACGTAGCATCGACTCAGCCATATGACAAGAAGAGTATTGATTCTGTCATCAGTTTACTGCTTCCTCCGAGCAATACAAATGGTGAGGCAAGAGAATTCAGTCTGGAAAAACTAAAAGAGCTGCAGAGTAAACTGGCTCTCATTTCTGGAAAACGCTCTCATGGGCAGGACGATGTCGAGAAGTTTGGCCAGGTAAAAATTGTTCTCCATTAACTAAAAAGAATTGAATTAAACTAAAAGTCCTCTTCTGATGTATCTCTCTTTTTTGTTTTGCGTTTCTTCTCAGTTGTTACAAGGGGTCATTCAACTTGGTCAGGCGTATGTCAACCTTTGTGAGATTGGCGATGTGTCTCATCTCGACTGGAGCCAAGAATACAAGTGCAAAAGCGTTATGGGGAAAAACGTCATAGCTGATATCGAATCAAAAAGCCTGGAATTCGAACGATGCTTCAGCTCTTGTAAAGAGCGCATTAACTCATTGAGAATGAAATATCACGAGTTGAACTATTTCACAATACAGCAGCTTCTTTTCTTACGGAAGGAACTCGCTGGTTTAAAACACAGTGCGACAATGAATTCTCTCCATTTGCAGGTGTATGCACTTCTTGAAAAAGTTCTCCCAGGTCTTCATAGGTCAAGCCTGCAGACAGCACTGCTTGGCGCAGGAATCTTAGCGCCACACCTTCATGATGATACTTACAGCGATGATGCTGTTTCGAGGAATGCAAGTGAGCAAATGCCATCGTGCATTCAAGAGAGAGAGGACCAACGTACTGTGGATCAACAGGTTGTCGCAAAATACGAACAGCTTCTCAACAATCTGGAAAAGTTAAATTACTCGGAGCCAGACCGTCTTGCCGTGGCAGCTCTATTCGAAAACTCAGAAAGCAGTGACGTTGATCTTGTTCTTTGGTGTATTAAAAACAACGGCAACAGCGATCTCATCGATGAAAACTACGACAGGGCATCGGATGATCCTAGGTTTCGTGGCATTGTCAGCCAGGATGCCGAATCAGATCTTGAGTTATCTCAGTCTTCCCAAGATTCGGATGATATCCATGAAAGGTAACCCGTTACTCTGTAACCAAAATATCTTAGGTTAGTGGTTTATCCCAAAGTCGTTATCGTCCGAATGAGAGAAGTCTTGTCAAGTATGGTTGCCGGTAGACTCTGAAGGTACCGAATCAGCCAGTACAACAAAAGTAAACCTTATAACTAGTTTACACGGCATCTGCAAAGATATGTCTTCTCCTTGCAGAAGTCAGGTCAGGACCGACATTTGACATGACTTTGAGTCTAACAGTGTGTGTTTTTGCTTTAGTTTAACAGAGGACAGCGTGGACGCAAGATTGGATTCAAGCACTGAAGGCATAATGCCAGACGAAACAAAAGGAGGCACCTATTTAAGCTTGGATGAAATTGGTGTATTTATGTCTCATCTGGCTAACAATGGTATTTACTTGCTTTTTGTTATGATACATGCTTGTCCTTGCTTTCTATTGTCATCAAGATTATGTCCATCTATATTGAAAGTTCCACATCAGAATTTACACCGACAGTGGAGGCTGAGCCGCTTGCATTGTCAGACAAAATCGAACGTCCTAGAAACAATACGGCAACATACAACATAATTTTGTCTTTCCTTTTCGAATTTAAACTCCCTTCTGATGTAATATCTAGGTACTTGCCTTTAATTGAACCGGAATATTCCAGCAGCATCTGTACTCTTAACGAAACCTGATTCCTAGAGACACTCACATGTGCAGAAGTGAAACGGTACCTAACCGTTGGATTTTAATTGCAGATAATGAACACAAAGTGAATTAATTAGATTTGTCTTCTTAGGTTAGTAAAGCATGCTAAGAGTAATTTTTAACAATATTTCACTCGAACTGATCTATGAAGGTTGAAATTAGTTTTGTTTGGCACAGGAGAAAGGGCTGTAAGGAGAAAGTTCCCGAGCTTCTTGAAAAGAGGAAAGCCAAATCTCATATTGGCACGCAAGGGTGAGTCGCGATTGGCGATGTCTTTTGCTTATCAACGTCAGAATATCATGCAGGGTTACTGTAGAACATTACGTATCCACAGAACTACATGTATGATAAAATGCCTTGAGAATTTCGTTTGTAGGCGTGTTACGTTCAATTTGGAATAATGAGACACAAGGAGGATCAAAAATTTGTGACTGGAAAGTGTGTAGATAAGCTTCCATGGTGTTGTTTGCAGAATATATTTTTGCTGCTGTACTTGGCCTTTACATGGACGAGAAAGCTCAGAGTGTGCCAAATAGTGATGAAGTTCTCATTTGCTCTTCGGAGACTACATCGGAAGAGGTACATGTATTAACGTCGTCTCCGTCACAAAAATACAATTAGGATAGTCAATACTTGTATCGCAGTCGTTAGGTCCTTAATTCAGATAGGTCAAACCGATTAAAAAGTCTCTGGACCGAGATGCAGAGTGAGCTTCTTCATTTTATTCTCGTGATTTTCGCAAAAGCGTAGACCAATAGCAAAATTATATCAGCTCATAGCTTTCTTACATGCGTTTGCCCGTGTCAGATGTCATAACCTCTATGTTCACTGCTGAAGTCGGTGTGGAATTCACTATATTAAAGAGAAAAGGATTTTGTGTAATGTATCTCCGACTAACAGACTGCTCACAATTCATTAGCTTCCTGTAACTGAAAATAACTGTGTAACAAAAGTTTGTATTTTCAGCGAATTGAAGTAGTATCTTTTTGGCTCTTAGGTGGAGNTCTTAGGTTAGTAAGGCATGCTAAGAGTAATTTTTAACAATATTTCACTCGAACTGATCTATGAAGGTTGAAATTAGTTTTGTTTGGCACAGGAGAAAGGGCTGTAAGGAGAAAGTTCCCTAGCTTCTTGAAAAGAGGAAAGCCAAATCTCATATTGACACGCAAAGGTGAGTCGCGATTGGCGATGTCTTTTGCTTATCATCGCAAGAATATCATGCATGGTTACTGTAGAACATTACGTATCCACAGAACTATGATAAAATGCCTCGAGAATTTCGTTTGTAGGTGTGTTACGTTCAATTTGGAATAATGAGACACAAGGAGGATCAAAAATTTGTGACTGTAAAGTGTGTAGATAAGCTTCTATGGTATTTTTTTGCAGAATATATTTTTGCTGCTGTACTTAGCCTTTACATGGACGAGAAAGCTCAGAGTGTGCCAAATAGTGATGAAGTTCTCATTTGCTCTTCGGAGACTACATCGGAAGAGGTACATGTATTAACGTCGTCTCCGTCACAAAAATACAATTAGGATAGTCAATACTTGTATCGCAGTCGTTAGGTCCTTAATTCAGATAGGTCAAACCGATTAAAAAGTCTCTGGACCGAGATGCAGAGTGAGCTTCTTCATTTTATTCTCGTGATTTTCGCAAAAGCGTAGACCAATAGCAAAATTATATCAGCTCATAGCTTTCTTACATGCGTTTGCCCGTGTCAGATGTCATAACCTCTATGTTCACTGCTGAAGTCGGTGTGGAATTCACTATATTAAAGAGAAAAGGATTTTGTGTAATGTATCTCCGACTAACAGACTGCTCACAATTCATTAGCTTCCTGTAACTGAAAATAACTGTGTAACAAAAGTTTGTATTTTCAGCGAATTGAAGTAGTATCTTTTTGGCTCTTAGGTGGAGCTGTTATGGCGTCGCGCCCTTTCTGACAACGGAGAGAACTTATATTGTTTGGTAAATGGCGATCTACTGGACTATGACGTCAGTCAAAAGGTGGTGGACTGTTTGCACACACTCATGCGAGATTATGGCGACAATGAACGTAGGTCCTTTTGTCGAAACGCTACTAATTTAAATTCTTCGTAGAAATTGTGCAAAGTTAATAATTCTCAGATGATTTTGTCCACAGTAATATATTTTAGTAAAGTAAATTGATTTCCTATACATGTACAAGTTCATTTCTCAGAACTTTAATTTTAAGTCTGCTTTAGCCAAGCGAGAATCAAACATTTAATCTCTTCACAAGTTTTCAAAGTAAATTCATCAGTTCCATCAAAAGCCGTTTTCCATTTTCAGAGCGGGATATGTATAGCGGCAAAATATAACCTTTTGTTAAAAAAAAAGTGTTTCATTTCTGACGTTTCCAGGTCTGGCTCTTGTTGTCCTGTGTAGTAGTGAAAATGAAGAACGAGCTCATATAGTGACCTCCTTAGAGCAGTACAAAGTGGAAGGCGGCATGCCAAGATATCCTCGGCCAGGCGAACTGCGACCTTACCTGGAGAAGCACTTCAAAGCACCACACCCGAGGCCTGGTTTGTACTGTGAACAGCATGTGGTTTGGAGCGCTGCTGCAGAAGTTGGTCGAGCAGAAAAGTAGGTTTATTTTATACCGATCATGTCTCACAGAAATACCCTCAGCTTTCCACCTAATACGTATACTTTTCCAAGAGAAAAGTATCAATTGCAGTTGTTCTTTGGAAAGCGAATGAAATAATTTGGAACAAGATTTGAAATGTGTGTTGTTTTTTTTTCAGTTTAAATGTTCATGTAGTAACCTCTGACCACCCTGGGGTCGGGAAGAGTTTAGTTGTTAAAAGGCTAGCAGAGCAGGTGTCAAACTTACAGAACAATCGGCTCATCACGGATACGATGAAAGGTCAAGATGAAGAACCACCTCCACTATGTGTGACTATACCTTTTCACGATAAACGCGCACTTGTTGCAGATGTTGTTGGCTTTTTTCTCCCGCATGCCTTACATTCAGATATACCTTTGTCCAGGATTTTCCACATGGACCGTTCCGCTACGGTAAGAATTTTGTCCAAGCATCAGGTATTACAGTGCAACCACACCAAGGGCGACCACTACAAACAAAACTCCCAAAGCAATTTTTTTTAACTTTTCAACGTTGAAACAATTAAAATGATCAATAAAATAAAAATTAAAAAAAAGCAATTAAATAAAAATTGGAAAAAAGAACTTTTCGTAAAAAGGGTACTAAAAATGTAGACACGCGTTTTGACTACAGCTCATCCGGTTACCTAGGAGAATTGGTGCTCTGTAGTTCTATTCAATACTGATATATAAGAATGCCCAAGCAGTACTGCTGCATTAGGCAAATCTGTTTATTTGGTTACAGATTTGTTCGTTTTGAAGTGTGCAGCTTTTTATCCATCGATAAATTCACTGAATCCAAGGTCAATTTTTGCCGCGATATTTTTCCGGTGGCCTTTTTGGAGTGGGGAGTGGTCGCGATGTTATACTGTGAAAAACTGTTAGTGGAACCCGGTTAATGCGTTAACCAAAGGGATATGCAGTATCATCCGGGTATCTGAATTAAGCCGTCTATAAGGGTTAGCAGCTCGGAGACACGATTTACCCACACTGAATATTTTCAGGGACACCTGTCTGTAATAAGCTGGTTTCCTCATTAAACGGATGTCTGTAAAACGTAGTTCCACTCTAACTGGCCGATCGATCAATCGACGTACATGTATAACGCGGACTAAACCGACAGACAAGCAGGCAGGCAGGCAGACAGACAGACAGACAGACAGACAAACAGACAGATAGGGAGACGGACAGATAAGCAGACACAAAAAATATCTAAACAAACGAACGTAAACAAGTAAGCAAAATACATTAATATAGACGTATCTCTTAAAATTAATTGTTAGGTGACTCCAGAACTTGAAACGTTGCTGTTTAACTTGCTCATCCTGGGCGAGATCACAGATGATCGTGGGCGCGTTTGGAGAAGAAATCCCTATGATCTGTATATTCTTGAAAATACAGATCTGCTTCCAAAGGTTTGTTACTATGTGTATATCTGTTCTATTCATATGTCCAATCTGGATTAGCTAATGCTTATGGGGAAATATCATCCCCAAGATTTTCGTAGCTACTCTGTCAGTTTAAAGAATTTCGTTCTCATGATTGTTGTATCTCATTAGGAGCAAGCGAAGAAGACAACAATGTGCAAATTTCATGAACTTCTCCCGTCAATTAGATGCTTTCTTCCAAAGGAGACTGTCGCTTTATTGCAAAGGAAGAGTACAGGTAGCATAACAGTTTGTTGTAAATTGCTGTAAGAATGCATTTGCAAAGCAGACTTAAAGAAGACTTTCATTCCATCTGTTTCGTCGACGAAACGGTCCGGCATTTTTCCACACTTGTTAGAGAGCATTCATCCAGTGATAAGGCCACTCACATTTTGAAGCATTTGCAGAATTCTGAAAATGGTCGCACCTTATGTTCAGCTGATTTTTTCTGTTTTGGATCACGTCTCCAGTAGTTTCCTACTGGCAATGTAAGCATTTTATGCTGTGTTCCCGACACCATAGACACCTATATGCCAAGAGAAGTGCAAAGGCTGAGTTTTCCAAAAACAGAAGTTTTATCCCTCTTTTTTGTTAGCGCAAAGAAGCAGCAGTCCTCTTTTTGATGAAGAAGAACTTCAAAGCGAGGCAGTTCAACGTACCTGGCAGTATCTTCAACGGTTTAATGAGGAACCTTCGCTAATCCAGGAGTTTAGCTTTGACGCTAGCAATAAAAGAGATGACAGTCCAGAAAAATGCCTTAAAACCTTGATCAGGTTTGTTAGCTATAATTTTATTTGTTGCCTTGTTTCGCGTTACTAGGCCTGGAGAGACTTAAGCCTTCAAAGGCCGAGCCATCCAGTGACAACATTCGAAACAAGTTTATTTAATTAGTATATTAACTGTAATTCATACTACCTTCGAAGACATAATAAGAACAACTGAATGATAATACTTAATTTAACAAAAATGAAGCATCCATTATCACTGAGCTAGTAGCTGACATACTGGCCCGTGACTGTTACGATTAACGTTACTGTTTGTATGATTACTAGCTTCATTTCTTGTTTGGATTTTTTATAGAAACTGCGGTGTCCGTAACCCCTCCTGGTCAGAACTTCGATATTTTGTCAGTTTTCTTAACAACCAGCTTCGTGACTGCGAGGAAAGTGTCTTTTGTACAACCTCGTTAGTAGAGGATACTTTGGAAGGATTTCGAATTTTTGTGGTAGCTTTCATGATAATTATGTCAAAGGTGAGTAGAGTACGAGAATAGCCAGTTTGTGCGCTTGAAGGGATTCTATCATGAAAACGACTTTGAAATGTCAACATCTAAAAGACGTGTTCATTTGAGGAAAGTAGCTTCGTTAAAAATCACTGAAAAAGTACACCACTGAAGCGATAAAATGGTCGCTATAATGGGTTACGCTTTCCCTACAGGTTGAGATGTTTAAATTGAAAAAGTCTGCCAGACTTTTCAGATTTGTCTTCGTGTCTCGGAAAAATCACTAAACACTAATTGCAATTTGTTCTCCCTTGAGCAATTCGCATAATATCTTCATCTTCGCATTTTCATTTCTGAAGGCATTTCTAACGTGTCGTTCAAGTGCGTAGACATAATTTTAGCACTGTTTTCACTGTGATAGTGTCCCATTAACTGAACATGTTGCGTGCACTCGAATTGGACGGGAGCTATGAGCTATTGACTGTCAGTAACAATAAGGTAAAAAAGGGTAAAGTTTGCATACGAGCCATTTATACACCATTTACACACCTCGGTGGAGAGAGGCACTGTGAGAGTAAAGTGTCATTCATGACCCCGGCCAGGGCTCGAACCCGGACCGCTCAATCCGGAGACGAGCGCGTTAACCATGAGGCCACCGCGCCTCCCAGTAGACCACATGGATAATGCAGCCGTTTCGACACGTGATTTCCAAGCTTTTTGAGTACAGTGTCACGTTCTTTTAACTCCTGCTTGGTTTACTGAGCCAAAAATGACTAATGTTCAAGCCAGCCAATTACCTATCCCTTATCCTGATACTTATTTGAAACAATCGTACTTGCTATTGACACTGATGCTGGGGCGCTTTTCATCAGGATTTCTCGATGCGTTCTTTGAAAGAAGATGACTTCTCGCTGTTCAAAGAATCAGCTGGCGCAAATGAAGAGCGGGACATTGCTCCTTTCCAGCTGCGGAGACGATGGGAGGGAAGGTAAGACCTTTGCACACCCTACTTGCATTGTCGAGCTGAAATTGTAACCTTTCGCAAAATTGAGTTTGTTATTTTGTTTTCCCATCTTTGATTATTCAGCCCACATCCTTACATCTTTTTTAACCGGCCGAATAACGATACCATGACTTTTCTTGGGTTCCGAGTTGACGAAGACGGGAATCTACTGGATCCTCGAACAGAAGAAGTTATACAAGAAAGGCTCATGACAAAGCATCTTCGCACAGGACTTCATGTCCAAAGAGTGGATTTCAACACTGACTTTGAGTCCTATTCCAAGTACGTATCTTACATCGCTTATCTGAAATTGAAATTAACAATATAAGATAGATATATAGATACCTTAGGTTGGGCACCACCACGCGGACTTTCTTAGGGCCACATATATGTTGTACAATCCCATCTTGGGTGGCCGAGAAGTTGGACATAAGGTAGTGGTCGGAGTGTAGGATTTCAAACCGGAATGCCGGATTCTACCTCACTTAACAATCGTTGCCCGTCGCCGAGTGGTAATGGTGCAACGAATGGTAATGGTGCCGTGTGTTTCCAATGCATTTACAGTATTAAGTGGTCGTTTGTCAGAGATTCGATTTTAATTTTGACGAACTGACCTTAGAAACAATTGTCTTGTAATCTCATTGATGTGACATTTCAATTTCAGACCTCAAAAAATTCAGCTGCTATGTTCTGTCATGGGGATGGAATGCGCATTCGATCCCGATGAATCGTACGAGCTGACGGGTGATAATGTTAAGAAGATTCTTGCTATCCACATGAGATTCAGATGTAACATCCCAGTTGTGATCATGGGTGAAACTGGATGCGGAAAAACTCGCCTGATTCGCTACTTATGTGGTCTGCAGACGGAGGGTTTAGAGCTGAAAAATATGCTGTTAATGAAGGTACAATAAGAAATCTTTGCATTTTATTAACAAACCGTTAAGGGTGAACCGTGTGATGTGCCAAAAGAAGTGTAAAACGCTGACCAAGTAACGACAATCAGCTCTTTCATTTGCGAGATTTTCTTGTGATAACTATCTCAATATATGAATGCGTTGCACTTAAATATTTAGCGATCGATAAGGCTTTTGAAACCGTTTACGTGTCTCATTTTATATTTAAGGTTCATGGTGGCACCACTTACAAAGACATCGAAAGAAATGTCCTTCATGCGGAGATGATGGCCCTTAAAAACGAAGAGATAAACAGAAATGTCGACACTGTCCTATTTTTTGACGAGGCTAACACTAGTGAAGCCTTGGGAATGATAAAAGAAATCATGGTGGACCGAAGATGTAACGGTCGTCCTCTGAGCGACCATTTGAAATTCATTGTTGCCTGCAACCCATATCGAAGGCAAGTAGAGTTTCCACAATATCGCAGAGTGATATTTAAGGAAAGAAGAACGACCTGTAGATTAGTAGTTAATATTGATATGGCAGGGTCATTTCAGTAAAGCTACGTTTTATAAAAATGGATTCAGGAACGCATTTCTCTCGGTACATTTCCCATAGCATCTGAAGAAAGATAGTAGTATAGTGCCATGTTTGGGATCCAACCGTTTGTCTACAGTGTTGTGTTTGTGCACTCTTTCCGGTTACTGTGGTAGTAGCAGTAACTAAAACACAATACCCTGGTCACTTTGTTCACCATGACAAGTTTTTTCTTTGCTGCCAAGCAACACGAGGCCTCATTGAGAACAATTTGTTGCAGACATACAGATGAAATGATAAAGAAGTTAGAGTCTGCAGGATTGGGCTATCACGTGAGAGCTGACGAAACAGAAGAACGCCTTGGTAGGATTTGTATGCGAGGCTCTCATTAACAATTAGATTGTGAGCTTGCGAGTGCTGTAAGGTGATATTCGAGAGCGAATAATCTAATTGCAGAACTCTAACTAAATTTCTTTCTTCAAGCGATTATTATTTCTCTACATATAGTATTACGTAGTATCTAAGATTCGTGGTGGCAAACCTAACAATGTAAGTCAGCCCAATCAGATTAATAAAACCATTCCGATTGGTATACTAGTAGAATTTTACGATAAAAAAATGGACAGTGACTCTAATTGATATCTTTGTTATTTTTTCCATTACACAAGGTCGAATTCCATTGCGTCACCTTGTTTATCGTGTGCATGCTCTACCGGAGAGTATGCGCAGTCTTGTGTGGGATTTTGGACAGTTAAATCCGAAAGTGGAGGAACTCTATACCCGTCAAATTGTGCGGAGATATGTAAGTAGCGCTTTTAATGGCGATATGCAAAACAAAACTGTTAACGCGCACTTGACAAGACTTACCTGCTTGCGAAGAATGATTCATTGTACTAACGAGCCTACTGAGCCTACTGAGCCTAGTGGCACATAAGAGCGGCTCAGTTTCTGCTGGCGAGGCGACTAGGTGTATTTTTACCTCGCGCCACCCTCTCAATCTTCTCTGAACGGGATTCTAGTCCATTGCAAGGTCAAATTTAGCCGTATTCATGTATTCCATTCGCACTTGGATGGAGAGAGGCAGGTGCTTTGACCAAGATTACAACGCGGTGACCCCCATCAGGGCTTGAACCAGGACCGCTCGATCCGGCGTCCAGCGCACTAACCATTAGACCACTGCGCCTGATGCTCCAAGTTTTACATCAAGGTATTAAAATTTTATGCAAAAAATACTTTGATGCCTATTTCAGTTCTTCCTTAGTGTCTCTCTAACTCACTGCGAGATTGACCATCTTCTATTAATCAATTACAAGATATGTTTCCCAAATGGAAACTCCCCGCTTTCGTGTAGTGAACATGCCCATTTTATTCCAGGTGCAAGGAGGTCGTCTGCCAGGAGACGATAGGCTGGAGATTGCCATAGCAACGGTGTTGGCGGCCTCGCAGCAATTCATGCGAGACAAAAAGGTGCCGATTGAATGAATCTTCCGGTATATAACAAAACAAGCAGTGAAAAATTTTAAACTTTCGGCAGAACCCGTATTGTGGCGCACTGTCTCTTTCTTTTGCTAAGCCCCCGTACAAGGTTTTGGACAGTTCTTTCACTCTTAACCTATCTCTCCTTCACTTTTTTTTCCGTTTCAAAATTATGACATCATCATCATCATCATCATCATAAGTCCTTATCGTGTCATGGGACGCATAAGACCACTCTTAATTTGAATATAAAAAATAAACAGATTCTTGTAATTTTCTCTAAACATGTTATGAAACGTTAAAAAATTACGTAATTTTTCGGTCAAAACTAATCATGTTTCCATGTTTCACATTTCCGAAGAATAATATCAACACCTTAAGAACCTTGTTAAATTTCTAATTGCAGGATGAATGCAGCTTCGTGAGTCTACGAGACGTGAAACGAGCCATGGAGGTCATGGTTTGGTTTTATGAAAATTTCAACAACTTTTCTCCTTTGATCCAAGACGAAGACGGCGACAGTGACGGTGACGATGACGGCGACGGTGACGGTGACAACAAAGACGACAACGATGGCGTTGAGAGTGAAAATAGGGAAAAGCTTAAAGAGGAACGTCCTCGTTACAGAAAACAACAACCCATCATCGTAGAAGAACTGTTTTCTGGGGAAGATGAACGACCCGCTGTACAAAAAGAAAGCCCCTCTTTCACAGAAGGGCGACCCGCTTTCAAAAAAGAATCATCTCCTCTCACAGAAGAACTTCGCCCTTCCAAAGAAGAGCGATTCCTTTTCGAAGAAGCAGTATCTTCTCCCAAAGAAGAACGACCCACTGTCAGAAGAGAACGGTTCGCTTTCAAAGGAGGGCGACCAACTCTCAAAAAAGCACGATCTCCTCTTCAAGAAGAACGGCCCACTATCAAAGGAGAGCGATCCGCTCTAAGAAACCTTCTATCTGGTTTTGAAGAAGAACGATCCACTTTGAAAGGACGATCTCCTCGAAGAGTGGTACGACCCACTTTCCAAGAAGAGCATCCCGCTCTCGAAAAAGAAGGACCCACTCAATTTGAAGCGTCTCATCGAAGTGTCCATTGTGCTGACCCCAGGGAAACAGTACCACCTGAAGAGCCTGATTTACTGCTCCCTGAAGAAATTTTCAGTGCTGTTTCTCAGGTAGAACATCTCTTTTCTTCTGATTCGACGTTTAAACAAAAAGGCGTTTAACTACTTGGTCAAGTTAACATGTTGCTCTTCTCTCTACAAATGTCTAAATAAACGAAAATTATTCTCTTTTCCTAGTCCATATAGCACGCATCTCGAAAACTACAAAACGTTATCGTAGCTAGAGCTGATCGCTAGCATGAATGAGTCCTCGTTACTGAGAAACCGCACACTGAAACAACAAAGGATGATCACGTACCAAAGCTTTCTACTTCAGTATCAGGGTAGCACTCAGTAAATCATCTTTAAATCATTACTTTATTTAAACACGAAAACTATTAGGTAATTATTATTCACGAGATTGGTCGTAAAGAGCCTTGTTTCGACTATGTAATCAAAGTCTAAACTTGCCATATGTTATTGATGTTTTTTTATTTACTTGATTATATGTCTGTATTGACAGTAATAAACCCGCTTTTGGTATTGATATCATTACACTAGCTCTTATGTCATGCTTTTAGGAAAATCTGAACGACGACATTGACCGAATCACGTGGTCATTAATTATGGCTCTTGGAGTTTGTTACCAGGCGCGATTAAGAGACAGAGATGAATACCGCGAGACAGTGGCGAAATCATTCCAAAGTCCTTGCAGACTTCCTGGTGGTGCAGGAAGGTTTGAAAAGGAGATCTCTCGGTTAGTTCATTGCTTTGTTAATGATATTCATTTGCACGCACGTACGCCTTTGAAGTTGATACTAATATCATGCTGTAATCCGATTGTCAGCAAGTAGCCATGGTTGGCTACGTATGGGATAACTAATACTCATAAAACTTGCCTCCAAACTGAGTAAAACATTTCTTAACGCCAGGGTGATGGCATCTAAATTACACTATCAGCGAGGTTTCTGCCGCCACAGCGTGAATACCATAAGAGAATTAGTCAATTTTTCCACTGGACTTTGCTTTTCTAAATAATTTCTGACATATTTTCCTGCCAATGCCAACCTTTCTTAAGATATAAGTGAATAACACTTAGGCCATGCTTTGGCACTTCCTATATTTTCCCATAGGTGATATTTTAAGATGTCTTTAGGGTAGGATTTCTCGCATGAAAACGCGTTCTCCGTGTTTCTATAGAGTTAAAGAAACACGGTGTGGAAGCTTGGGAGAACTCATAAAAGCTGTGGAAACTGATTTAACTGTCAGCTCGTGTTCCCTCAGCATTTCTTGTTCTCCCAAACGTCCACTGGTGTTTCTATAACTCGATAGAAACACGGAACATGTTTTTCATTTGTTAAACTTTATGAGCCCTGTATAACTTATACACATTATGGCACATTTATCTTAAGATGCCAAGAAGCTTTAATGGAGCAACTGGAGCTTGGGCCAAACATCGCCTGCAATGCCGCCCTTACTGAAAACGTATTTATGATGGTGGTGTGCATTGAGCTCAGGATCCCACTGTTTGTGGTTGGTAAACCAGGCAGTTCCAAATCTCTGGCCAAGACTGTTGTTGCTGACAGCATGCAGGGAGAAAATTCAAAATCGGACCTCTTCAAAAACTTTAAGCAGGTAAGATTTAAAGTGAAATTCTCTGCACTGAGGTGAGGAATCAAAAGAGGTCGAGCTTTATGTGCAGCCGAAATCAGAGGACGTTTGTCATCTGTTTGGATTCCAAACGTTTTGATCTACGTTTAGTACAAATTTACGCACGGTCAGATTACCACGTGTTTCATATTTTGTAAGGACGAGGCTTTTAGTTTGTAATTTACTTTTTACGGTGGCTTAAAAAGATTTGTTGTATAACAGAAAGCACATATTGTATATTACTCATGAACTGTTCATTGTTATACTAAATCAGATGTTTTTGTTTTTTTTGTTAACAGATTCAGCTCGTTTCGTATCAGTGTAGCCCTCAGTCAACCCCTGAGGGAATACTGGCAACGTTTCAACAGTGTAGCGAACTTCAAGAAAGCAAAAACAAGGAAAGGAAGTCAGATAGGTTTGCCTCTGTCGTGGTCCTAGATGAGGTTGGACTGGCAGAGGACTCACCTAAAATGCCCTTGAAAACTTTACATCCTCTCTTGGAAGATGGAAACCAAGATGACGAAGACATCATTCAAACCGAAGACAGGTTTACCCGCGTTGCTTTCATTGGTCTATCGAACTGGGCGTTGGACCCCGCCAAGATGAACCGTGGAATTATGCTCTGCCGTAATGAACCAGATGGAGCCGAACTGGAGGCAACTGCCAGGTAAGTAGGGTCGTGTTAACGTTGCAAGCGCAATTACTTCGTTTCATTGCTAACTTGTTTCTCTGTTTTAAGACCGTCTTTTGGCCTTCTAAAAGTGGATGCAAAATAATTTGAATATTGCATTAATCTTGCGGAGGGCCGAGGACGTTCGAATAAAACTCGTTTATTGGCCAGTTCGACAAAAGTACGTTTTTCCCTTCCAGATGCATGGAAAAAGAAATACCACTCGATGTAAACGCGACATTATCAGGCTCTCTTAGACTGAACTAACGGAAAACCCAGAAGAGGAAAAACATGACCTTTTAATCATTACATCTTTAATCTATTTGAAGGGACCTTCGTGCAAGAATATTAATTTCCTTGCCTTCACCCACCACTGCAGGTATAAAAATGTAGAGCGCCGAACTGTTACAGAAACGTCATAACAGTTACCTATCACTGACTTTTTTAGGTTTGTTTTGTTTTCAATTCTAGGGGCATTTGTGGAGGTGACGAAGACATTATGACACTGATAGAACCTCTCATATCCCCGATAGTCCATGGCTACAGCGAACTCTATAGCAAGCAGAAAGAACTGGAAAAACTGAAAGATGGAAAGAAAGATGAATTCTTTGGACTGCGAGATTTTTACAGGTATGAATGTTTTGATTTGTTGGGAATATTTCAAGATCTAAACAGATAGATTTATGATAATACTTAATGAGCGGCCGGTCTGTATGTTTACAACGTTTACAATGACGAGCCGAATCGAAGGCGAGCCTTTGTAAATACCCATACAGATTGTTTTTGAACCTTTTTTTATCAAATCTACGGAATCCTTATCCAGACTACATATTCCGGCTTGGACTTTCAGCATGTTCATGTGACATTGTCATTAGATCGATTTCTTTTTATCTATTAATCAGAATTTTGTTACAGTAATTTAAGACCTGATTGAGAATTTCTGCTATTACCCAGTCTTCTTAAGATGGTCGTCCACATCGCAGGAGAACAGAAACGCCGACCCAGCTGGGAAGAGCTCGAACACGTGATTAAACGTAATTTCAGTGGTTTGCTGGAAGATGATTTCGACCCTGTTAGGATCATCATGAGGCATGTTGGATTCCCGTATGAATATTACCAGGTAAAGACATTTGAAAATATTTGTGAAAAAAAGAGCACTAGAACACTAACAAACTTTTAATTCTTAGTATTGTTAGTTCAGTCCTTCAAAGAGGAAGTCAATTCTTTCATATGATGAGTGCTATTTTCCATTGACGATGTTGTCTCACACTGTTCACCGCACAAATTAACATCACAAGTAATGATTTTTGTCTTCTTTGTACCAACATCTTGATTATTGACAGGGAGAAGAAGAACGCCGGGGCCTGGATAGTGTAGACCTTATTCGAGCAAGCCTGGATCGCAAAAGCGCCATGGGGTAGGGTCTCAATACTGTTTTTTAATTTTGTACGAATACGTGTGTATCGCTTTAGCCTTGTTACTGTTTATGTTGTAAGCTGGAAGAAACTGTGAAACTCGACAAATTTTTTTCCCCTTAATACTCTCAGTTGAAAAAGGAATTACACGTTTCCAATCAGCTACTCAAAAAACTGAATTTTGGTTACAAAACTGAAAAGTTGACTCGACGAATCGGAGGTTCATATGGCTTTGTCCATCTACTTTTCAGTCAGAAATAACTTCTTTTGCTGGAAAGAAGCATTTAATTTTCTCCAGTCCTTACCAGCTTTGTTCGAACTTTATATTTTTCTTCCTTTTGCAGAGAAGGGCGCTACCTGCTAATCATGACTGAGAACTTTGCAGCTCTACCAAGAGTAAAACAGATTTTGTTAGAAGAAGACTCTGAAGAACCATATGTTATTTTTGGTAGCGGCTTCCCAAAAGATCAGCTATTCACTCAGGTGAAATGCTGCTTTCTCGCTTTTTTATTATGCTGTCTGTCTTTTTATATATCTGGCTGTCTGACTGTATTTCATTTTACCTGTACGTTCGTTCATTCGTTCATTTTTACGCCTTTTTATTAGGGGAGCAACATTATTTTTAATCTGTAATTGTAAAATCCATAGGTCTGCCGCAACATCAACCGTGTCAAGATCTGTATGGAAACCGGGAGAACAGTAATTTTGTTAAACCTCGAAAACCTCTATGAAAGCCTCTACGACGCACTAAATCAGGTCAGTCTTGTTAAGCTCGCCAGTGGCGAATACTGTAGGTTACGCCTGCTGGATACACAAACACATACAGCTACTTTGACAATGTTATCATGCAACTCATCGTCAATGAGAGGACAAACGAATAAAAAGCTGACTTCAATTTGTCTTCTGCAAGAACAGAAGCCGAAATCAGTAATCGACTGTAGAATTCCGACGGAAGAAAAGCTAGGTAAAATTGCGATAGAACCTGAATTCTTGTTTTGGGAGTCAGAACGATTCCGAAACTCAAGATATCATAAACTTCGGGAAAAAAGTCAGTGGAATTTCGATATCTAACCTTTACGAGAGAATTCCATTCAAAAATCTATGAAAACTCACTGAATTACTGTACGAATCAGATCAGCTGTACTATGAACACTTACAGCAAACTAGGCAGCTAAGTTTATTCATGGAGTTCCACGTCAAACTTTGACTAATACGTATTTTTCGCCTAACATGCATGCAGTTGAATCCAATTTGAATTACAAATCATCAAACTTTTTTTTGATGATTTTCTCTCTAAGGTACTTCCGTTGAGATGCAATGTATCGGTTACATCGGTACTGACAACACTTAACACGCTGTCAAAGGTTTGGCGAAATTCTCAAGATTCACGCGTGATAACGTCAACTATGTGTCCGTACTCTTATTGATGGTACAATTTAGCCAGTGAGCGTCCGAGAAATTTAACAGTTATTGTAAAATTGTTATTTGAAACTTTAATTGTTATATGACTCTTGCCTTCTAGTATTACGTGACTTTTGGAGGAGAAAAATATGTCGATCTGGGACTTGGTAATCACCGAGTCAAGTGTCGCGTTCACAAAGATTTCAGGTAGCCATTCTGTTTTCTTAAATATCATTAAACAATCATTTTAACAATTTTGCGGAAGACAAAAAGTTAGTCTATGGCAATTCAACCTCGGGGCCAGGATACTCCCAAAAGTTTTTGGTGGGGGTGTGCGGCCCGAACCTTGAAACCTNCTCATTGATGTGACATTTCAATTTCAGACCTCAAAAAATTCAGCTGCTATGTTCTGTCATGGGGATGGAATGCGCATACGATCCCGATGACTCGTACGAGCTGACGGGTGATAATGTTAAAAAGATTCTTGCTATTCACATGAGATTCAGATGTAACATCCCAGTTGTGATCATGGGTGAAACAGGATGCGGAAAAACTCGCCTGATTCGCTACTTATGTGGTCTGCAGACAGAAGGTTTAGGGCTGAAAAATATGCTGTTAATGAAGGTACAATTCGAAATCTTTGCATTTCATTAAGCAAACCGTTAAGGGTGAACGGCGTTATATGCCAAAAGAAGTGTAAAACGCTGACCAAGTAACGACAATCAGCTCTTTCATTTGTGAGATTTTATGGTGATAACTATCTCAATAGTGAATGCTTTGAACTTAAATATTTAGCGATCAATAAGGCTTTTGAAACCGTTTACGTCTCTCATTTTATGTTCAAGGTTCATGGTGGCACCACTTACAAAGACATCGAAAGAAGTGTTCTTCATGCAGAGATGATGGCTCTTAAAAACGAACAGATAAACAGAAATGTCGACACTGTTCTATTTTTTGACGAGGCTAACACTAGTGAAGCCTTAGGAATGATAAAAGAAATCATGGTGGACCGAAGATGTAACGGTCGTCCTCTGAGCGACCGTTTGAAGTTCATTGTTGCCTGCAACCCATATCGAAAGCAAGTAGAGTTTCCATAATATCGCAGAGTGATATTTAAGGAAAGAAGACCGACCTGTAGATTATTAGCTAATTTTGACATGACAAGCCGGGTCATTTTAGTCAGGCTACGTTTTGAAAATGGATTCCGTCAGGAACGTATTTCTCTCGGTACATTTCTCATAGCATCTGAAAGAAAGATAGTAGTGTAGTGCCATGTTTGGGAACCAACTGTTTGTGTACAGTTTTGTGTTTGTGCACTCTTTCCGGCTACCGTCGTAGTAGCAGTAACTGAAACACAATACCCTGGTCACTTTGTTCACTATGAGAAGTTTTTTCTTTGCTGCTAAGCAACACAAGGCCTTATTGAGAACACTTTGTTGCAGACACACAGAGGAAATGATAAAGAAGTTAGAGTCTGCAGGATTGGGCTATCACGTGAGAGCTGACGAAACAGGAGAACGCCTTGGTAGGATTTGTATGCGATGCTCTTATTAGCAATTAGATTGTGAGCTCGAGAGTTGTGTCTGGTGATATTCGAGGGCGAATAATCTAGTTGCAGAATTCTAACTAAATTTCTTTCTTCAAGCGATCATTATTTCTCTACATACAGTATAACGTAGTATCTAAGATTCGTGGTGGCAAACCTAACAATGTAGGTCAGTCAATCAGATTAATAAAACCATTCCGATTGGTATGCTAGCTAGTAGAATTCTACGAAAAAAAATGGACAGTGACTCTAACTGATATTTTTGTTATTATTTCTCTTACACAAGGTCGAATTCCATTGCGTCACCTTGTTTATCGTGTACATGCGCTACCGGAGAGTATGCGCAGTCTTGTGTGGGATTTTGGACAGTTAAATCCGGAAGTGGAGGAACTCTACACCCGTCAAATTGTGCGGAGATATGTAAGTAACGCTTTTTATGGCGATATGCAAGAGAAAACTGTTAACGCGCACTTGACAAGACTTACCTGCTTGCGAAGAATCATCATTGTGTTAGCCTACTGAGCCTAGTGGCACACGAGAGCGGCTCAGTTTATGCTGACGAGGCGACTAGGTATATTTTTAANAGTGGCACATAAGAGCGGCTCAGTTTCTGCTGGCGAGGCGACTAGGTGTATTTTTACCTCGCGCCACCCTCTCAATCTTCTCTGAACGGGATTCTAGTCCATTGCAAGGTCAAATTTAGCTGTATTCACGTATTCCGTTCGCACTTGGATGGAGAGAGGCAAGTACTTTGACCGAGAAAACAACGCAGTGACCCCATCAGGGCTTGAACCAGGACCGGCGTCCAGCGCACTAACCATTAGACCACTGCACCTGATGCTCTCAAAAAATGCTTTGATGCCTGTTTCAGTTCTTCCTTAGTGTCTCTCTCACTCACTGCGAGATTGACCATCTTCTATTAATCAATTGCATGCAAGATATGTTTTCCAAATAGAAACTCCCCACTTTCGATTAGTAAACGGCATGCCCATTTTGTTCCAGTTGCATGAAAGTCGACTGCCAGAAGACGATAGGCTGGTGATTGCCATAGCAACGGTGTTGGCGGCCTCGCAGCAATTCATGCGAAACAAAGAGGTATCATTTGAATGATGTTTAATCTTCCGGCATATAATAAATAAAGCAGCGGAAAATTTGAAACTTTCAGAACCGGGATTTTTGATGTCTTGTCTCCTTCTTTTCTAAACCCTCGTACAAGTTTGTGGACAGTTTTTTCACTCTTAAACTACCTCCCTTCGCTTCTTTTCCGTTTCAAAATTGTAACAATATTCTTTGAACAAGGTATGAAATGGTATAAAACTGCAAGATTTTCAGTACAAAATAATGTTTCCGTGTACGATCCGAAAGCTCCATTTTAGCAGGCAAAGAGTGATACCTTATTAACCTACAAATACACTATATCAACAACTTAAGAACCTTGTTAAATCTATAATTGCAGGACGAATGCAGCTTCGTGAGTCTACGAGACGTGAAACGAGCCATGGAGGTCATGGTTTGGTTTTATGAAAATTTCAACGACTTTTTTCCTAAAATCCAAGATGAAGACGGCGATGGTGACGCCAAAGACGGCAACCATGATGATGAGAATGAGGATTATGAAGAACTTACAGAAGAACATCCCCGTTACAGAGAAGAAGGAGCCATTTTCGAAGAAAAACTGCCTTCTCTGGCCGATGAACAACCCGTTCTTTCTTTACAAAAAGAAAGTCCCTTTTTCACAGCAAGCCGACCCGCTTTCAAAAAAGGACCATCTCCTCTCACGGAAGAACGTTGCCCTCCCAAAGAAGAACAATCCCTTATCGAAGAAGAAGTATTTTCTGCCAAAGGAAAACGGCCCGCTGTCGGAAAAGAACGAAGCACTCTCGTGGAAGAGCTATACGAAAACTTTATGTCTGCTCGTAAAGAAGAACGATCCACTTTGAAAAGAAAGCGACCCATTCTCAAAAAAGCACGATCACCTCGTACAGTGGTACGACCCACTTTCAAAGTAGAGCACTCCTCTCTCGAAAAAGAAGGACCGACTCAATTTGAAACGTTTCATCGAAGTGAGCCTAGCAAAACAATGCTGCTTGAAGAACCCGATTTACTGCTCCCTGAAGAAATATTTAGTGCTTCTCAGGTAGAACATCTCTTCTCTAAGAATAGATTTAAAAACAAAGAAGCCTTCAACCACGTGGTCAAATTAACATGTTGCTCTACTCTCTACAAACAACAAAAAAGTGAAAATTATTCTGTTTTCCTAGACCTTTTCAACACGTCCACCTCGGGAATTACGAAAATTGATCGAAGCTATGACTGGTTCCTAACAAGAATGAGTTATCGTTGGAGACCACAAACTGAGACAACTAATGATGATCACTTACCATACATGTCGCGTTTAGCATAAAGCTTTCTACTTAAGTCTCAGGGTAGCACTCATTAATTCATCTTTGTCTTTAAATCTAGATATTTACCTCTTTTTAATATTAAATCGTAATACCAAGGCTTTTTAGCAGTACAAAGTATGATAATCCTTTAACAAACCACACTATTTATTTGAAGTTCTTATCTATATTAATAACAAAACATGTTTCGGATGAAACATCCATCCATTTTCAATTGGTATTCTTGTGCCACTGACGATGGATGATGTTTCATCCAAAACGTGCTTTGCTATTTAATGTAAGATATGAATGTCAAATACATCGTCTGGTTTGTGAAAGCATTAAATGGTAATTTAACATTCGTTTATCTAACGACGAATATCAGTCGATTATTTAGTAGGCTGGTCACTTACAAGAGTTGTCGTAAGGAACCTGGCTTCGACTGTGTAGTCAAAGCCTAAAAATAACTTGTCATGTATTATATGCTGTTTTTTATTCCTTGTTTGTATGGCTGTATTGACAATACTAAATTAATATCCATATCATTACACTTGCTCTTGTGTCGTGCTTTTAGGAAAATCTCAGCGACGACATTGACCGAATCACGTGGTCACTAATTCTAGCTCTTGGAGTTTGCTACCAGGCGAGATTGAGAGACAGGGATGAATACCACGAGACAGTGGCAAAATCATTCCAAAGTCCATGCAGACTTCCTGGTGGAGCACAAAGGATTGAAAGGGAGATCTCTCGGTGAGCTCATTGCTTTGGCAATGATATTTATTTACACACACACACACGTCTTTGAAGTTAATACTAATATCATGCTGTAATCCGATTGTCTGCACGCCATTGGTGGGAATTCAAGGGAGCACAAGAGCCTCCTGCTTATGGGACAACTAGTACTCTTAAACCTTGCCTCCAACTGACTAAGACATCCCTTAACTCCAGGGTGATGGCAACTAATCACAGATGTCAACGAGGTTTCTGCATAGATTTACGGCGAGAATTAAGGAATTAGTCAATTATTTTACTGGACTTGTCTTTTCCACCTAGCATTATATTGTTTGAAGCATGATTGCTTTTCTTCCTTAGACAAGCTGAATATTTTCCTGCTAATGCCAAGCTTTCTTAAGATATCACTCATGAGTAACACTCAGGCCATGCTTTGGAACTTCATGTATTTTCCCATAAGTGATATTTTAAGATGCATCTAGGTTTGAATTTCGTGAAGGAATACGACCGCAGGCCATTTTCATGTGTATGGTATGAATTACAGTTTTGCTCTAGAACTGTAACCCAACTGTCTGCAGATTGGGAGGAAGTGTAGGATCAACCCTTAAAGGATCTTTTTTTTTTAATGCTTTTGCATTGGTGAAACATTTCTAAATTTTAATCTATCACTAACATTGTTAGGACATGCATCGAAGCGCTGTGGTCAAAAGAGTGCCGCACGATTTTTAAACGTAGAAACACTTGCTAAAACATGTTGGATAGTTACATTCGGTTTTTTTAGTTAAATACTAGGGCATGTTTTAGGAAAGCTCTTTTTTTGTTCAACCTTTTCTAGCACCTTCAATCTACTTCAGACATCCCCTAACAGTAACATTAATGCTCTATTATCCTGACATACATGTATGAAAGCGTTTATTGTAGTGTTACATTATGAGACCCGCACAACTTATAACCGTCACAATGGCATATTTTTCTAAGATGCCAAGAAGCTTTAATGGCACAACTGGAGCTTGGGCCAAACATCGCCTGCAATGCCGCCCTTTCTGAAAACGTATTTATGATGGTGGTGTGTATTGAGCTCAGAATCCCCCTGTTTGTGGTTGGTAAACCAGGGAGTTCCAAATCTCTAGCCAAGACTGTTGTTGCTGACAACATGCAAGGAGAGAACTCAAAATCGGAGCTCTTCAAAAATTTTAAGCAGGTAAGATTTAAAGTGCAATTCTCTGCACTGAGGAGTCAAAAGAAGTGGACCTGTATAAGTGCAACCGAAATCAGAGGACCTTTGTCATCTGTTGGGATTCTAAGCTTTTTGATCTATGTTAAGTGTAAACTTACGCTAAGTCAGACTACCACTTGTTTCATATATTGTAGTGACGAGGATTCTTAGGCTATGATTAGAATCGAATTAGAAGTATTCTTAGTCTGCAATTTACTTGTTACGGTGGCTTGAAAAGGTCTGATTTATCGGAGAGCAGCTATTGTATATTGCTCATGAACACCGAATCATATTTTTTTTTTCCTTTTTTGTTTTGTTTGTTTGGGTTTTTTAACAGATTCAGCTGGTTTCGTATCAGTGTAGCCCTCAATCAACCCCTGAGGGAATACTGGCAACTTTTCAACAATGTAGCGAGCTTCAAGAAAGCAAAAACAAGGAAAGGAAGTCAGATAGGTTTGCCTCTGTCGTGGTGCTAGATGAGGTTGGACTGGCAGAGGACTCGCCTAAAATGCCTTTGAAAACTTTACATCCCCTTTTGGAAGATGGAAACCAAAATGACGAAGACATCATTCAAACCGAAGACAGGTTTACCCGCGTTGCGTTCATTGGCTTATCGAATTGGGCGTTAGACCCTGCGAAGATGAACCGCGGAATAATGCTCTGCCGTAATGAACCCGATGGAGTCGAACTGGAGGCAACTGCCAGGTAATTAGGGCGACGTTGTCCTTACAAGCGCTATTACTACGTTTCCTTGCTTACTAGTTTCTGTGTTTTGGTACCGTGTTTTTTCGTGTTCTAAAAATAGATGCAAAATTGATATTGAATTAATATTGTGGAGGGCTAAGGACTTGTGATAATAGTGAATGATGAAAATAGGATGGATGAAAGGATGAAAGGATGAAAATAGTTCATTTCCAGTTCGACAAAAGTTCTCCTCTTCCAGATGTATGGAAAAAGGCAAATTTAATTGAAATACCATTCGATGCAAGCACGACATTAGCAGGTGCTTTTAGACTAAACTGATGGAAAACCCAGGGCTGGGTTGTTCGAAAACCGGGGACCAATAACCCAGGATTAAAATGTGAACAAAAGTATTGATATTTCTTGTAAAAAAAATGTTTTCCCCTGCTTATGTTTTATGTAGTTTGAGATTATTCAAACTTAAAATTGAAGGGCAAAGAAAATAAACAGAAAAACTCACAGAAAAGTTACAAAACTGAAATAATAGTTCTCACTTATCCTGGGTTAACTTAATCGGGCTTTGAACAACTCGGCCCTGAGGAGAAACATGGCCTTTTAATTATTCAATCTCTAATCTTTTTGAAACTACCTTCCTACAGGAACATTAATAACTCTTTGCCTTCACCCAATACAGCAGGTATAAAAATGTAGAGCACCGAACTGTCACGGAAAAATCGTTACAGTTGCCTATCGCTGTCCTTGAGCTAAATATTTTTTGTTTGTTTTGTTTTCAATTTTAGGGGCATTTGTGGAAGTGACGAAGACATTATGGCACTGATTGAACCCCTGATATCCCCGATAGTCCGTGGCTACACCGAACTCTACAATAAGCAGAAAAGTCTACAAAAACTACAAGATGGGAAGAAAGATGAATTCTTTGGACTACGAGATTTTTACAGGTATGAATGTTTTGATTTGTTGGGAATATTTCAAGAACTAAATCGATAGATGTATGATAATACTTAATGAGCGGCTGGTCTGTGTGAACGTTTACAATGACGAGCCGAAGGCGAGCCTTTGTAAATACCCATAGAGATTTTTTTTTTTTTTTCTTTCTTCATCAAATCTATGAAATCCTTATTTTTTTTTTCCTTAAAATTACAGACTACATATTCCGTCTTGGGCTCTCAGCATGTTCATGTGACATTGTCATTAGATCGATTTCTTTTTATTTATTAATCAGAGTTTTGTTATAATACCTAATTGACAATTTCTGCTATTACCCAGTCTTCTTAAGATGGTCGTCCACGTCGCAAGAGAACAGAAACGCCGACCCAACTGGGAAGAGCTCGAACACGTGATTAAACGTAATTTCAGTGGTTTATTGGAAGATGGCTTCGACCCTGTTAGGATCATCATGGGGCATGTTGGATTCCCGTATGAATATTACCAGGTAAAATATTTGAGAATATGTGTGAAAAAAAACGAGCACTAGAACACTAACATAACTTTCACTTCTCAGTATTTTTAGTTCAGTCCTTCAAAGAGGAAGTCAGTTCTTTCATATGATGAGTGCTATTTTCCATTGATTATGTTGTCTCACGCTGTTCATCTAACAAATTAGCATCACAAATAATGATTCTTGTCATCTTTGTACCAACATCTTGATTATTGACAGGAAGAAGAACGCCGGGGCCTGGATAGTGTAGACCTTATTCGAGCAAGTCTGGATCGAAAAAGCGCCATGGGGTAGGGTCTCAATACTGTTTTTTTAAGTTTGTACGAATACGTATACATCGCTTTAGCCTTGTTAGTGTTTGTTTTATCTGATAAGCTGGAAGAAACTGTGAAACTCGATAAATTGTTTTTCCCTTTAATACTCTCAGGTGAAAAAGGAATTACGCGTTTCGAATCAGCTACTCAAAAAACTGAATTTGGGTTACAAAACTGAAAAGTTAACTCGACGAATCGGAGGTTCATATGGCTTTTTCCATCACTTTTCAGTCAGAAATAACTTTTTTTGCTGGAAAGAAGCCTGTAATTTTCTCCAGTCGTTACCAACTTTGTTCTAATTTCATATTTTTGTTCCTTTTGCAGAGAAGGGCGCTACCTGCTGATCATGACTGAGAACTTTGCAGCGCTACCAAGAGTAAAACAGATTTTGTTAGAAGAAGACTCTGAAGAACCGTATGTTATTTTTGGTAGTGGTTTCCCAAAAGATCAGTTATTTACCCAGGTGAAATGTTGTTTTCACGCATTTTGACATTATAATGTCTGTATTTCTGTCTGTCTGTCTGTCTATCTGTCTGTCTGTCTGTCTGTCTGCCTGCCTGCCTGCCTCTCTTTGTATTTCGTTTTGCCTTTATGTTCGTTCGTTCCTTCGGTCATTTGTTCATTTCTACGCCGTATAAGGGAGGCGTCATTTTTCAATCTGTAACTGTAAAATCCATAGGTTTGCCGCAACATCAACCGTGTCAAGATCTGTATGGAAACCGGGAGAACAGTAATTTTGTTAAACCTCGAAAACCTCTATGAAAGCCTCTACGACGCGCTAAATCAGGTCAGTCTTGTTAAGCTCACGGCAATGGCGAATACTGTAGGTTACGCCTGGTGAATACACAGCTACTTTGACAACGTTATCATGCAGCTCATCGTCAATGAGAGGACATACGAATAAAAAGCTGACTTCTATTTGTCTTCCGAAAGAACAGAAGCTTAAATCAGTAATCAACTGTAGATTTCCGACGAAAGAAAAGCTAGTTAAAAATGCGATAGAACCTGAATTCTTGTTTTTGGGGGCAAAATGATTCCGAAACTCACGATATCATAAACTTCGGGACTAAAATTCAGCGGAAATTCTATAAACAACCTTTATCAGAGAATTCCATTCAGAAATTTATAAAACTCGGTGAATTACTTGTGTTACTGTATATTGTAGATTCAAACCACTCGAATCAGATCAGCTGTACTTTGAACACTTACAGCAAACTAGACAGGTTTAATTCATGGAGTTCCACGTCAAACATTGGCTAATACGTATTTTTCGCCTAACGGTTGAATCCAATTTGAAATAAAGGTCATCAAAAGTTTTTTTTTTGGCGAAATTTTCAAGATTCACGCGTGATAACGTCAACTGTGTGTCCGTACTCCTATTGATGATACAATTTAGCCAGTGAGCGTTCAAGAAATTTAACAGTTATTGTAAAATTGTTATTTGAAACTTTAATTGTTATGCGACTCTTGCCTTCTAGTATTACGTGACTTTTGGAGGAGAAAAATATGTCGATCTGGGACTTGGTAATCACCGAGTCAAGTGTCGCGTTCACAAAGATTTCAGGTAGCCATTCTGTTTTCTTAAATATCATTAAACAATCATTTTAACAATTTTGCGGAAGACAAAAAGTTAGTCTATGGCAATTCAACCTCGGGGCCAGGATACTCCCAAAAGTTTTTGGTGGGGGTGTGCGGCCCGAACCTTGAAACCTGTACCCTATATCAGATTGAAATCTGTGGTTTTCTACACCCTATTTCAGACTAAAATTAGTGCAGGGATCTTAATATGACCGCAGCTAACCAGATATGGCTTTCAGTTGGGTTTAAGTTAGGGCTGAATCGTAAATAATAGCTCAAATATCGCCGGACAGCTGTTAATGGTTCACTTACATCCTGCCACTGAACGTTTACCCTCCTGGACTTAAATTGAATTTAACAATTGCTACTAACTTTTCAACAGACTGATTGTCATCGCCGAAAAGGACGTGGTTTACAACAAGTTTCCCATTCCGCTGATTAACCGCCTAGAGAAACATTTCCTTGCAATGTCGTCTGGTCTCACAGATGCTCAGGAGCAACTGTCCAGGGAGTTAAACGCATGGGTTGAAGACTTTGCCGACATTTTCCAGCCAACCCACGAAACTAAGAAGAGGTAACTAGAAAACGTGCGCTTTCTGATGTCAATCTGTCCTATTCTTGTGTATCAACCAAACTTAACTGTGCCTGTGATCTATGAAACGTTAACGGTATAAAAAAAAACGTCTGGTTAAACATACATGTAAAGTGGCTGACAGGCGTAACGAGGTGGCAAACACTTTTTACTATATGAGCTCAGAAGACATTTCATTTATTGACAAATGAAACTTCTTAGCGCCCAGTGAAATCCTGTTTCGAATTTCTTAGGAAACGAGTAAGTTTAATGACTTTTCAGTATTGATTGACTGACACTTTGAAATTTAGGTTATCTGCACTTATTGTTGACCAAAATCAAACGAATGGCAGCTGGAAACTAATTTTTTGCACATACCTATGCATTGTCGTGTTCTAGTTCAGAAACTTAATAGACTAAATACCTCATCGATTTAAAACCAGTTCATAAAGTTTGTAAAACAGGGAAATTTCTGAGTTTTCTTATGGCTCTGTTTCAAATCGAGTCCTTGATCAACCTACATTTGAAACCAACATCGCTTCTCAATAATTCATCAAAATAATTTAATTAAAGGAAAACATGACCATATCTGAAATTAATTCGCGGAGATTCATTGGCGATTTTGTTTCTCCGTTTTCCCCTTAGTTTTAGTTTCGATTGAGAAGATATATCAAACACTCAAGACCGTGTTTGACAACATTTTCAAACCATCTAAGTTCGTCAAAAATACTCCGCTGCGCGTCGTATTTTGAACCCTCTTCTTAGTGTTGAGAAATGTGATCAAACATAGTCTTTCGTGTTTGATATATCACATGAAAATTAACCTTGCTGGGTAACACAATTTAGTCATAAGAATGGTTTCGCACAAAGACTCGTTTCGACAAAGAGGTAACAAGTTACTTCGAAATGGCTTATTGCACATAAACTATGAAGTACACCTGGTTAAAGTTAACAAAGTTCTTATGTGTTTGTGTCGGAAATTTTCAGCCTACCAACAGGAGCGTTGTTGGCCTGCGTTACTTATTATATGGATGATCTCTCGCTTTTACTTCGTTTTCTGGGCAACGTTTTTAATTTAGTCGCGATTCTATTTATCACTGTCATCAATCTTATTTCCACCTTCTCCGGTTTAAAGAACATTTGCAAAAGGAGACGCTTTCATCGGTTACCACCAAGACTCAGTTCCGGCTGTGGTTTTGCAAGTTTGTGCTGAACTTCACGATGACGGGTCAGTTTTGTCAGACGAGGACAGAGAGTCTTGGAAAGAAAATGTAAGTTGAACCCCGAACTATAAAGAGATCGCATGTACTCTGTACTTATGTATGTACCGTGTGTCTCCAATGGACTGATATTCATGATGTATTGGCATAAAGGTTTTTCCTTATTTTCGTTGTCACAATCGTTGTTTTTGTTGTTGGTGGTGGTGGTGGTGGTGAGGGTGGTAGTGGTAATGGTGGTTGCGGTTGCGGTGGCTGTAGAAGCGATGGTGTCATCGTCTTTTGGTATACATATCAATAGGACATAATGAACTGCGATGTGCCACTGTCACTAATGTTGTGCTACTGTCACTAATGCTACACATGTATATCTATCTGAACCAAATCCGTTACGCCTCCCTTTCAGGTACTGAAACACTGCCAGGAACGTTTGCTTCAATGTGCGACCCCCGACTCGGTGACTCGTCTTCGCAAGAGCCGCCTGAGGTCCCAAGCAAGTAGTTTATGGACCACTTATTTTCGCGAACAGGAACACTCAAGCCTGGCTAACTTTCTAGATAAAACACTGGGCGATGTTAAGTCACGTGCCACAAGCAACCCTAAAATAGCGCTTCGTGCACAGGTAAGAGTGTTTAGGGTTATTACATCAGTGATACTAAATTTCCAGTGTGTACAACTGATTTGCTATCTGATTTAAATGACACATTGTTCCGTAAACTAGAGATTGGCTTTATGTTTATTTTCCCAGATTTCAACTCATTCACGTCTCCTGTCTGACCGAGACATTCGCGACATAGCTGAGGTTGTTCACCTTCCAACAAGCTGCGTAAAGTGTATCTCATTGCAGCAGTTCCAAACTGAACAGCAATTCTGTAACTGCATAGGGTAATACATTTACGTGTTTTTAAATTGCCATTGTAATAGTAATACATTGCAATAATTACTCTATTCTCTAGTTACAAGTAACAAAATATACGTGGAATTGTCAGTTTCTTACTCCCAGATATTTACCGCAGAAAGGTTCCAATAAGGTAACTTGAATGAATCGACAATTTAAGAATACAAACAAATTGAACTTTGTTCATTCTCTTGCATTATAGGAGAGACTTTTGGGCAAGGCTTGGAGGAGAGGAGAACCTGTTAATTGTGCAATGTGATTCCGCGGACCATAACTTAGACCTCGTAGCATGCTCTCGTCATCTACTCATCGAAGAGTGTCGGGAAATGGAGAAAGAACTGGACCCTGATTCCACTGGTCATAGTCACATCTTGATGATTGTGCAGCTGTCTAGAGTGGCAGGTGGTTGTTCTGATTTTGTTGGCGTGCAAAGTGAAGATTGGCTGTCCGTGCACATCGACGAGCTGTGTCCGCCAAGCGAAGAGATGCCCGCAATTGAAACATTAGTCGGCCGTTCAGTCAGTGAAATTTTCGAGAGTGCTCTCCACAAGACGGAACATAATCTGAGCGTGAGCCAAATGCTTTCAAGTTGCGTACAGGAGGCAGCGAGCAGAATAGAAGATGATGAAACTACTCTTGGAAGAGCAACCAAGAGAATTGAGCTGCTGCTAAAGTTACTTACTCGGAAGAAGGAAACTGGTGAGAATTATGTACAATGTCTTTTATTAGATCTATAATGTGTATGGCTGCTACTGTTGCTGCTACTGTTGTGGAAACGATCGCGATTGGTGTAGATATTATTTATAACTAAAGAAAAAATAGATAAGCAGTAAACTGGGTCAGTGTCAGCCTAGCGRGTAACTGGAGATGYTATTTATAATAAGAAGAAACTTTTGGRTCTTCGGGTACGGTATACATCCTTCTTGCCACCCAATTCAGATCRTGTCATGATTCATTTGGAGGTTTTAGTTGTTCTGTTTGTAGATATACTCCGTGGCAATCAGTTGCGTGTGACAAATTGCACAATTGTAGCCTCCCACATGAGTCATCACAGGATTCAAATTGGGTGGCAACAAGGATGTTAACACGTTAGCCGAATCCCTCTATTGCCCCCCAAATTACATCAACTGAATTATTTGATTGACCAATTTAATTACTCCTGACTTTTGAACAGGCGAGGGCAGTTTCCAGTTGGTACTTGCACAGCGTCTCCATAAGCTGTTGCAAGAAAAAGATCAGCGAGTACCGAATCAAGGGAATGACTGGCTGCAAGCGGAGGCCTTGCATCGAACTGTGAACGAAACTGGAACGTTCAAGAAAGCACTGTGGCGTCGCTTCCAGTCTTTTGTGGCTCCCATCCTGGCTGAAGTCATAGCATACGTTGATCGCGATGGAAATCTTGAACTGGCTGCTAGTGGAGACACTTGGGTGTTCAACTTATGGTTGAAAATCTTTGGAGACAGTTCCCTTAGCGAGCTTAGTTTTGTGTCCTTTATGTCTCAAGAAGGGGATATCTCAGTAGTCCGCAGCAAGGTTCCGGTCTCAAAATCGGGATATGGTTTGCTTGCCTTTCAAAACAAGTTTCCCTTTTCCTGGCTACTCAAAGAGCGTATTGATGAGCTGTATCGAGAGGCCAGAAGTATCGCAGGTGAGTATAATGAATGTGCCAATTATATCTTAACACTTTGCTGAATGTACCTAATCTCCGTTAACCGCTGTTTTAACACTACAAGTTCTAGTTTTAACACTACAACATGAGAGTAACAAAATTGCATGGTCTAAAGTCTTTTATACGGCGCAAATAATTCCACTTTTTCAATAGTTGTTTATATTTTTTTTTTCACATATTTTCAGCCAATTCCCATGAAAACGTTACGGATTGTTTACGGAGGTTGCTGAACAATTCAGAAGTCAATTCAGTTGTTTCAGAAGCCATTAATGAGGGAGGAGAAAAGACGGTAGCAGCTTGCTATTTGCACGACTTTACACACATGGTTTACAAACCTGGTTCTGAGGAGGAGGTTGAGGTAATGCTGGGGTTGAATTGGATTGCATTTTGATAATTAAATTATCATATTTTATCATCTCACTATTTCGTCCTCGATAAATGAAGAAGCGAACCCCTATAGTAGCTGTAGTATGCATGTAGTATGTATCGGTATGTATAGTATGCTATAGTAGCTCTATTTTTGAGGTTATCAGTATAAACAAGCAAAAAAGGTGTATTTTTGTATCGTCAAAGTAACAATCGTATAATCCTTGCCGTTATTTAGGTTGTTCAAAGAGCGATTACAGCCGCTGCAAAAGAGATTCATCACTCAGCCCAGTCACCAGGCGAAAACTTCGTTATGGATTTGGCACTGGTTCATGTAGCACATTCCCGCATTCAGCGGCGACTCAACTGTTTATCACTCTTACTGCAAACCAAATCTGATATTGTACAAGACCTTCTAGAGACATTCTCGTGGGATGAAAACGAAATGGTGAGTTGTACTTCATCCGCCACTATTAAACAAGAGCTTAGAATGTATAAAAAAAAAATTATATAGGCTTGAATTTTCAGCATCTAGTTAGCAACATGTAAATAAGCTCGACGAGCGACGATGGAATTTCAGCTATAGGAAGATACGTCATTCGTGAACCAGGCCCAAACAGCAATCTCAGCCAAATACTTCTTTAGACGTCGCCTGCAAGCTTACTTTGTGAGATAAATACATCAACTAAACTTTGCTACCTAAAAAGAAGGTAGAGCAGTTTCCAATTAAGAATGAATTGAGTTTTTGTAAAGCCAAAATGAAAGTCAGACAATACAGTAAGCCATTCAAAACCAAAAACAAATAAAATTAGCCGACGCAAGGTCGGGAAAATATGTCCGAGCGAGTACCATATTCGTATTCTCGGTATTTCACTGAAACTACAATGAGCGACAAAAATGTTGAGACGCTTCGCAGAAAAATTCGATTTTCGATCGTCTTCGAAACATTGCCCCAGCCCCATTGTCTCAGCTACTTATGTCNTTAAATGAGAAACTTCTTTCTTTACACAGACTATTGATGCTATAGCCTTACAAATGTGCTTGGAGCGTATGGAGCCTAGTGAAGAAGATGTCAAGGACATGTCACGAAGGCAGGCATGGTGTGACCTAGTTTTGTCAGTGAAAATACCAGTAGAAGAAATGACCAGTAAGAGCTCTACAGGAGGCGAGGCGCGAATTGGAGAAAAAACCGAGTCAATCATTACACAGTGCAGGTATGACTTCATATATGTGATGTTTCAGTGAACGAGTCAGTCATGGAGCAACAGTAATAAGCATAACTCTGACTCTGAATTACCGATAGATCAACAGGAGCTGGTCGATATTTAAAATGATAACCCACCGCACTCGATTGGTCTAAACGTGTCACGTGACTGAATATGTATGTGTCGCCTTCTGCGAAAAATATTTAAACGAATAATAAACACAATAGCCTCCATTTGACTCACAGCTCCAGTTTTCCTCAAGCTTCGTTCTCGGAAGACTGTTCGCTCTTCGGAACAGATAATATCCGTGATCAAATATCCGAGCGCATTTTCGCGCGCTCATGTTCGCACCAAATGGAGGCTATTTTTTACATAGCAACAACTTCGCATTTCCGTGAAGTTTGTGAAGTAAATTTTTTTTTTCCTTGTCTGATAGATCGGTTAGTGGGTTGTGCTAAACTGTTATTATCAGTAGCGACACAGTAACGTTTTCGAATTTCAAATTAGACTTAAGTTAACAAATTAAGAAGTATTAATGGCTATTTTTATCAAATTTGATGATGTTTCATCATCATCATTTATCCGTTCTCCAAGTGGAGAATTGGGCCGTAAGCTCTCTGCCTCCAGGCTGTTCTGTCCTCCGCAGCTGATGCTGCTGCTGCCCATGTTCTTAAACCTTCCTTTTCCAGCTCCCTTTCTACAGTCCTTCTCCAAGTCNCAGGCGTAAGTTGATGATTTATAAATTATGGAGATATTAAGGTTTGGAACACTTCTTATTTTTATCCATCGATAGATTTGTACCAAGAGCAATTATTTGCTTGCTCTTTCATTAACATTCTACCACAAACCCAACCATGTTTTGTGCAGATCTATTTTCGATATAATACCTTATACGTGATTACCCTTTTAATGATGAATTATTGGCTTTGTCTGCAGAGACCAGCCTGAAGATCATGATGAATTCCTTCAACGTTGCAACGCTTTCTTCATGGAGATAGTGTCAGTGTTTTGCTTTGGGAAAGACGTGCATGAGTTGGATCCGGATGTGTTTGAAATGCTCATGCGATTTGTTACAGGATCGCAGTCTACTTGTAAAACAAAAGAATTCTCGCCATTCCCTGAGTTCGGAATGGACAACAGCCCGGTAGTGAGATCATTTCTCTTGCAGCAACTCATTAACTCCAAGTAAGTCTACCATGGTTTGTATGTCTTACTGCAGTAGACGTTTAAATTAGAACAATGTTTCAAGTGTTCCGGCTCCCAGTGAGCAACAGTGAGCAACAGGGGAAAGAACTCCGTGAGAGACTCCGGTCAGCGAGAAAAGAGAGGAAACAGGCTGCCAATCTGTCTGCGAATCTGCCGTTCGAGAATCGATCTGCTCACTCATCAACGAACTCATAAGTCATAAACTGAACACTACCAAGTAGACATCCTACTCGGTATCGAGAGATTGCTTAATACTACTACTGCAACTGCTACTGCTACTGCTACCGCTACTGCTACTACTATTGCTGCTGCTGCTGCTACTGCTACTGCTACTNGCCTGCTGCCTCCTGCCTGCTGCCTCCTGCCTGCTGCCTCCTGCCTGCTGCCTCCTGCCTGCTGCCTCCTGCCTGCTGCCTCCTGCCTGCTGCCTCCTGCCTGCTGCCTCCTGCCTGCTGCCTCCTGCCTGCTGCCTCCTGCCTGCTGCCTCCTGCCTGCTGCCTCCTGCCTGCTGCCTCCTGCCTGCTGCCTCCTGCCTGCTGCCTCCTGCCTGCTGCCTCCTGCCTGCTGCCTCCTGCCTGCTGCCTCCTGCCTGCTGCCTCCTGCCTCCTGCCTCTTGCCTCTTGTCTCTCGCCTCTTGCCTCTTGCCAAAGTACTTACCTCTTATCTGTAACCTTTTCTGTCTATCACTTGGAGCCATTTCAAATTTTGTCCCTCTTTTTCACCTTCCCCCGATCCTAATGACAACTCAACGAGACTAGATCGTGGTTGCGTACAGTTTTAAGAACATATTGAAATTGCTACGTTTGCAATGTATGTAATCGTCCTCATTTCATTTCTTTTCAGTGACGTAAAAGCTAAGAAACACCTCGAGCGTTACCTTTACGGAGTTCAGGGTCTGTCATCAGAGGTGCCTCATATTCTGAATGTGTGTTTGCTCGCTGTGCAGTGTATGGAGGTACGTAAGAGGTCATATTTATTTGAAGACGGGCATGCAGTTGATAACTAACAAATTTCTGCTTTGGGAAATTAGAAAATAACCATTTACCGTTCCCGGGTCGTCCTTCGCTTTTCAAGGATCGAGTACATTCATCTTTTGATGGTGTGCATGATCGAAAATTTAATGGGTGATGACGGAAATTTTTGCTGAGTATTTTTTCAACTTTAGACAACAGTTACCAGTGCTGTCAAGAAGAGTGTATTGGTACTGCGTAGCACGTCATAAATGTGTTCCTTTTATTTGTAGAATTCGTGGATCAGTTCGTTTTCCAGGAACGCAAACGTCGAACTTGCTATTAACATTGGCCTAATAACCAAGTTATGCCAAGACGCCCTTCATATCCTGCATAAAGACTTCACAAGTTTCGAAGAACTGCAAGTGGATTCGCTGGAAGCGGTAGCAAAGGCGCGCTATATTCTAGGCGTGACTGCTGAGTACCTGTACATTAGCTGTGTTAGTGATGACGAAAAGTGGAAAAAGCCTGAAACGCGTATTGCCCTGGATTTGCTCTTCACTAATGTTAGGGCACTGTGTATGTCCGGTCGCTCCAGGTCGCCTGCTTTGTATCTTCTGAAACAGCTTGTCAAACGTTACGGGGGACACTCGATTGCCACAATTTCTCAAAACGAAGAGCTTTCATGGATTGTTCCCGCCGAATTCCAACGAAGAGAGGCGAGTCACGTGTTTCAAAGTGTCTGTTACAGCAAAATTAAAAACTTCATGGTTAGGACCGACTAATCTGAACATTTAAACATAAAAATCCCTCTATTGCCGGGCGAAGTTGTGTTTCAGTTTTTATTTTTTTCCAAGTTTTCTCCTGCCTAACAGGTCATATAGCTTATGGTGTAATATTCACCATCCTCGGGCCATACAAATTAACTTAATATCCGCATTTTAAAACTATGAAAGTCCCACGTGCTACATATACAAGGCAAATTTTGGACGTCATTAACAGACCACGTGACCAGCTTCTTTAAAGAGCGTTTGTGTTAAATTCAATCAGTTAAAATGTAGAGAGTCGTCTCAGTAACTTCAGAGAAACAACTGATAGTTATCTAGAGTACTATTGATTGAATCATATAACACAATTATTCACGAATTAAAGGACTTTTGTCCATTTTTCAACAGGATGATGGGATGACTTCAGACAGGTTCTTGGTGTATGGAGTTCTATATCGGGAAGTAAGAGATTCTTTGGCAAGAGCAATCTTAAGTGGCAACACAGACGAACTTATCGCGTCATTAGAGGTAAAACATCCCTCCTTGTTTTCTTGAAATGACGAGTTAGCTTCAGTATTTAAATCGCAATAACACCTGTAGGCTCGATTACCAGTCGCTGTGGGGCGGAAATCGATCCTATAACACCTGTAAATGCAGTCTTTGTCTATTCTAATCATTCTGAACATAGTTAATAGAGGGTAATGGTTATGAAACTCGACAAAGTTCTTTGTTGTATGTTTTTGTTCTCTTTTTTGGCCTTGACCGTGTAAAAAACACAATAGTTGTTTACTACTGACTTAGGAACGAGCCAACAGAAACGTTTTGGTTACGTAATTCATGTATATTGTATGAATGCAAAACAAAAGATTGTGCACGGTGGTGGACCTTCCAACATAAATCTTGGCATCTTTGTTTGCTCCTTTGATGCTTGCCGGGATTCATAACCAGTCCCCTCAATTAACTATGTTCTGAGTGGTTTTTTTCTTTTTTCTTTTCTTTCTTTTTTTTTTTTTTTTGCAATTTGCAGATTTTGACACTTCGGTTTGGTCCACAGACTTNTATATTTTGTGGCAAATAAATGGTTGGCTGTTGTTTGTTGCTGTTGTTGTTGTCTTTGAAAAGTTCTCTGCTGTGTTGTATCTCGTTGGCTCTGAAGTGATGTCACTGAAAGTCGATTTTCCAACTAAATACAGAATACATGTTTATTACCATAATTGAGATTTCCCGCAGGAAGTGAATCCGATAATTACTTCTTTATATGTTGTTGTTTGCAGGCTTTACGTGAATTGCCAGGGCATGCCAGAGACATCGTGATACTGCTGGCTGTATACAGGGAGATAACTGTACCACAAGGAACGTGGGCACGAAACCAGCGTGACGTATGTTGCGTCTTTCTCATTTCGTACCTTTTATATGGTCATGCAGGATCCTGCCTCGTTAATAAATTTATTTGCCAAACTTCTTAATTATGTGCCATCTTGCAAGGTTTTCACACTCTGAATTTTGATCGATTCCGCTACAAAATATCAGTGATCGATATTGGGACATGATGGCATTACATCACTATGGTTGTCGTTTTACGTATGGGCAAACCACCGTTTGTAGTGATGTCTCAAGCTCTTTACAGTTAAAACTGCAGAAAAGGAAAATTTGTGTCCAAATTCTCAGCTAGAAATGCATATCAAATTCAGTTATTGTACAAATTATTGTTATATCATTACAATGTATAAATTATAATGTATTAATTAATTAATTATAATGTATAATTGTAGAAATTATTCGTATACTTCAGCCATGTCATGACATAACAGAGTTAAATAAGTTTACTTTTTGTTTATCAGTTCCTGAAATTCCGTATCGGCAACGAGGACTTGAACACAAAATTGAAGGTGTTGGTCTTCCGAAGACGTGCGCTGTTGAAAGCTGCGAATCTTATGATAAATTGCTACATTCCAGCACAGTTGCTACAAGAACAATAGCGTGGGAAGTGTCCATGATCGATATATCAAAATTTTTAACGTGGCCCCGATGCTTTCTTGTCAAAATTGCAAATTCTCTAAGATGCTGGTAATTCCCATAAAAGACTTGATGCAAAGAAAACAAGACCAAATGTAGAAGTTTGGCAAAAAGCCTCGGTGCCGTGTTAGAATTTTGATATATACACCTTATTCGAAAGTGGCCACCATTTAAGTATTCTTTTGTTTTCCTGCAAATTAGCCCTTGTTGCCTCGTTCTTAAACTCGAAATTCAAAAGAATATTTCCCTTAAACGAGGCAACTAGGGCTAATTTGCAAGTAAACAAAACAACACTAAGATGGCGGCCATTTTGGAAAAAGGTGTATTGAGGGTAGGTTATTACTAATACTTTGTAATCGATGGCGTCGGTCGCGACGTTTCGTGCATACATATATATATAATAAGAGACTGCGCGACGTAAAATACACAGTTTTTGGGAAAATAATTATTATTTTACGTTTTATTTTTTTATGCTGATTTCGAAAGTGAATTTCATTGGTAACAGCAATGGTACCAAACATTTTAGTCATCGACAATGATTTTTGTATTATTTATGGTCATATGATGTTTTATATTCTTCAGAGGTGTGCACTGATAATAAATGTCATTCTGAAAAGGGGCAGATTCCTGTCTACAAGTGTAAGTCGCATTATCGATTCTGTTAGTATAAACTTTGATGCCATTATGTTTCAGATGTTAACAGATTTAAGTGAAATCCGGGTATATATCGATCAATACAATGTATATTTCGGCCCAATAATTTTCTGGAAATGCTCAAGTCAACAAGCAACAAACATAATTGGTTTACATTTGCCCACTGCAAGTCGTAACTCTCAAGGTTAGCCTCTTTACTAATATATATGGTGACTCCTCAGAAATGAAAGTTGTAGAACGATTTTTTTGAAACTTTCCCTGCCTGAATGTCCCTACAAAACACTGTTTCGAAAAATACAATAAAACGGATAGATCACCATTCTCGCAAAAGAGGTATGATGGGCCAGTCGTACCCCGGTTATGTCTGTTCTGGTACACTTCAACGGTTCAAGTTACCCTTTGCGGTAGCTGGAACGTAAAGTAATACTTGGAAAAATAAATTTGATAGGTAGAAAATCTCGGGCATATGGCACAGTGTAATATAATTTACCCTTTTGAAGGTCTTAGTTGCACCCTCGAGTAACGATTTTAAGCACACTTTCAGTTCCATCTTTTTTCCTTCCGCCATTTTTTTTTTAAATTTTAACTTAAAGAGGATTATTTGTACACCAAAATTATGCAAAAAGAATGTAGGTCACCGTGCTCGTTTGAGAGAAACCATTTATTTCGCCGTTGAGCTCAGCTTGAAGGAAATCTCTTGACGTTGTAAATGTACACGCGCTTGTGCGCGGGCTTATGGTCGCAGTAGGGATGGGTGACGAAGTATCAGGAATAGTCCTCACCTCGGTAAATTCGTTGTATCTGTGTTATTTACATTAAATGTCTGTTTTTATGTAGGCTCGAAATTTGGCTAAGGATATTTTGAAGAACTCTCAGGGACTGGGATTTCCGTTCCTTTCCTTCCAAGACACCGACAGCGTGGTAGAAAATGCTTTGCCGGAGATCTTGTTTCACGTGACCTCTGTCCTCCAGTGCAACAATTTTGATGGGCTGCTGGAACCTTTAAAGGCGATTATACTTGCTCCAAGTAGTATGCTGGTAAGTCGAAAATTGAAACTCTAACAAGTTATGACAATTAACATACTACTGCAGAATTCCTATTTCAAAACATTGCTTCAAAATGTACGTGACAAGTTCTTGCAATCCAAAGCTGTTTCTCTGACTTCTTCGGTTTTCGGTGCTATTTGGCAATTCAGAATTGGCATCTGAATTTATTTTTTTCTTCTCTCATATCAGGCTTTTGCGAAGATTTAAACTGTAGACAGCGGAATTCGAGAGAATAATTTGGATCGTCAATATTTTTTGAACATTTCCTCGCAAAATTTGAACTGACCTGAATGAAAATACCTTAACGCTCTCTGCTGGCTTGGCTTATGGCGGGAAAATCTAGATGCGACCGTAATGAACGCCAGCGTGTAACTTTCTGATTTGCTGTATTCTTCAAGGCAAGGGATAAATCAGAACTGAGGGGTGGACTGTTTGACTGTTGAGGGGGGTGAGTGATTTTGAAAAAATATCTTGCAAGCATACTATAGTACTACCAAAAAAGTTTCAAGCACACGAGCACCGCCAAAACAAAATTCACGCGTGTTCAGTGAGCCGAAAAAAGCATGCTTCACGGAGAAAAAATACATAAGCGCGTCCCGATAAAAAAAGAAAACATTCCTGGTGCATGAAAGAGTTGAAAAAAATCATGCCCATACCAACCCACCCACCCCCTCAAAAGTTAAATGGTCCACCCCTAAACATTTCTTTCGAGTGTTCATAGTGACGCGCATCACACCCTTTCCATTTGACAATAATTCTGACGTCGACATACCGTCCACGAGACCCCCACTTCTGCCATTTTTATGGATCAAATCAAACGAAATTCATCACGTTGCTTCCACAAAGAAACTAATATTATTAATAATGGTAACAGGACTGAGTGAAGTCCAATTCGGTCTGTAATCATAAGAGTGATTAACAAAATCGGACCACCGCGAAGCGGGAGTCCGATTTGTTAATAACAAGTATGATCACAGACAGAATTAGACTACACGATGTTCTGGTACCAGTTAATCATAACCGTTACAGTTTCTCACAAAAAGTAAAAGATCCATTTGAAAAATAGCTTTTAACGGTCAGTTTTAAATATGAAAATTAAAAATATGGAGAACAGCGGGAAAAACTTCTGTAAAGTTAATTCCTTTGAAAACAGTCACAAGGGATAAACCTCCTAAATTTTACAAAGTATTGCAATTGTTATGATTAATGATTATATAGTGCTGACTACATTATAACTTACTCTTTAAAGGATTCTTTTCTCCCGACTATGCCAGAAGACAGCTTTGGGGAGACTATTTCAGCCATGTCGGAAGGAGGTAGCTGGTATGGTAAGTATTAAGGTATCCACTCGTAAAGCAATTATTGATGTTAGCGTGAAACCGATCTTCATTAAGGACGAAATGAACTTTTCCTGATGGTTCCCTATTTACTAACATAAGTGAGCAGATATAACACGACTGAGAAACGTTTCTCTGTCTGTCTGTATGTCTGTCCAGCTGTCCACTTTGTCTTTGTCTGTCTGTCTGTCTCTTTGTCTGTTTGTCTGTCTCAGTGTCTTACTTTCCGTCTTTCCATCCGTTCATTATTCTATCAATTCGCACTTATTCGTAAAAAAGGGTTTTGTACCACTTCGATATAAATTGGAAAGACAACAAAACGTATGAAATTAGATGGTTTTCAACGAGGTTGATCAATTTCAAATCGTGATGAAATCCTTTTGCCTTTACCCTGTTTGTTTCGTCTAGGACGCTCTGATTGACTGTATTATCAACCTCTAAAAACTGAGAAACGGTCTAATTATGTTTTCGTTTTTTAGAATGCCTAGCAGACCAATTCAAAATCTTGATGAAATCCTTTTCCCTTTACCCTGTTCGTTTTGTCGTAGACGCTCTGATTGACATTTTATATTATCAACCTCTAGAGAAACGTTTTAATTGTGTCTTTGGTTTTTAGAATGCCCAGCAGGCCATCGATACTTTGTTGGTGATGTAAGTATTACACTTTATTTCTTTATTCACGCTCAATCGTTCTTCAATTTCTTCGTTATGTCCCTAAAATTCGTTATGTTCTTATCAGTAATCGATGGCATATGCAATTATATTCATTCATTTAAAATTAACTTACTTCAAGCTGGATCTATCACATTTACGTATCCATTTCATGTATTTTAATTCATGTATCCATTTCATTCCCCGTAATCAATCCGTATATATGCCGTATCAGCCTCAGAAACCAATACTTGAACGAATTATCCTTTTGTATCAGGACCCTTCCCTGCAAAATAGTTTATCTAACAGTTTTCACCGTTTTGTTCTGATAGTGCGGTAAACCAACTGAGACGCGTGATTGTCCCTCATGTGAATCGGGGGTAGCAATTGGAGGCACAGATCACAACTTAGTTCAAAATAACAAGCTTGCAAGCAGGTAACCATTCAAGTAAATAATTATTGAAAAGTCACTTGAGTTAATATATCGTAAATGTACGGAGCTTTAGTCGACGTGATGTTTTTATTACTTGTCAGACACGACCGTTCTAGCACTGGGCACATATTGGGAGACCCCCAACGAATAATTGCAGAACGAGATCTTTCTCCCGCAAATGTTAGCCTTCTGAGGGTCATTCTCCATTCTGCCATGCTCGCCGGAGCCTACCAACAACCCGAGGTAAAACTGTTTATGTATTCAAGAGTTAAGAAACAGATAAGGTTTAAAAATATGGATTTGTCTAGGCCAAATGGTTCATCATTAGACTTCACTTTAACAAGATAACAACCTGGTTGAAAGGGTTGCGTAGGGCGAAACATTTCGGATATTTTGTCGTTTCTTTTTTGTGTTTCATCTCTGATTGGGAGCAACGCAATTAACGTTCCAGAAATGTTTTCTAGGAAAGACACAGTTTCGAGGTCCTCGTATTTATCTATGTAGTTAAGTAAAACACTTAAAAGCATGACTCATGTTTAAGAATCAAACACTCAGATACACGACTGCGATTCATTCTCCACCACAAGGTCGTAAGTCAACTGATGCATCCAGAGGTTCCGGCAGGCGACATTTGCAGATTTCTCTGGGAACATCTTGTCAATGATGTAAGAAACGTATCTACCAGCCTGGAAAGGAGCGAAGATGAAGTGTTGCTGTTGATTCATCTTGTTTTGTCAGAGATTATGAGCCGATCAACATCAAGTAAGTCCATACGTCAATTATTATTCTTATTATGAGACTGGAACGTCGATACCAGTTATGTCAAATCCATGTTGTGTTTCAACCATTGTATTTATATCTTTAAGGAGAACTTGATTATAACGGAAAGTGGTCAACAAAAGCAGGAAGAAAAGAATGGGAAAACGAGTTTGTAAATGTGTTTGCAAGACCTATCTGTACGGTAATATTGAATTTTTCTTACTATATCTTATGGTATGTTGTACATTATTGTTGGCCTGGTTATTGTAAGCTCGTTTTTCTGGGAGGAGGAATAAGCCAAGTAATTCACGTTCTCCTTTGTGAGGTTTCGTCGTTTTTATTTTTAGTATTCTGGCTTTCTCATATTTGCCTTACTTTCCCAAGCTTAGGAAAAGGCTATTCAATACATTTAAGCCTATGACTGAGTTCAGTACACTAAAATGTTTTGTTCAGCACTGCAGGATTGCACCGAAAGTAGCTTAAGGTAGAAACAATGTGAACATGATGTTTTCGTAGCAGTTAAATATTGATTAATTTAAGTACACGTTTTGGATAACAGCGCCTTTTTTCCATCCACAGAACCTAGAGGAACGCTTGCAGGATTTCTATGGTCTGTCAGTCAACGACAGGAGATTGGGTAATGACAAACTCTTTATGCCGGCTTTCTGAGAAAANTTTTTAAAACAGAAATGCCGCGTGCCGTAATGACACATTTCAGTGCAGCTCTGAAAAAAATTAACATCGAGTTGTTTTTAAGTAAAGTTGTTGAAGTCATCAGTTTATGGCTACCTCAAGAAGACGAACAAACTGGAGACATGGGGTAAAGTGTATTTTTAACTTCCTGAAGTCACAGATCAATGCAGATTTGAGGGTTTAACTAAAGAAAGTGAGAAAAATGTAAGCCACATGTTGCTGAAATGAAAGCTCATGCATGGCGTGGCAACCATTTTTTCTCTTCTTCCAAACGTAAAATGTAGTTTTTACATCATTAGCCAGTAAATGTCTTCTTGCGGGTCGCAGGATGACTTGGAGTCTTTTATCTAAAAGTTAGATTGATGTTTCTGACATCGAAAGCATGAATCAATATATCCCCAAATATACGGACTATACTACACGCTGATATGAGTTACTCAAAAATCGCGAGTTTGCATTATTTGACATCGAATAATTTTGTGTAACATTTGAAAGAGCAATATCCAAATGTACTGTATATTCTTACTGCAGACTTGGCGAGTACTTGGATGGCAAGCTGCAGTATGAGGAGAGAATTCCTGAAGACGTCTGCGTAAAACACGTGATCTATGCTTGGCAGCTTGCACTGGAAGCTCGTGAAAGAGACCAAGGACGAAGGAGGTCTATGATGTCTTAAAGATCACTGCAGTCTCAGAACGTCACGAATTGTGTTTAATTAAAATATGAATTGAATTACTGGTAGCATAATGATTTAGGTTTTTCATTATAATTTCGTTTAGGAACCTTTCAAAGCCTCTAGTCTAACTATAAATGGAAGCTCGACGTGCGAAGAGTTAAATAGAAATAGTAGCAGGTACATTTCAGCTTTTTTTCTTAAATGGATATGAGACTTTTAAATGACAAAGTGCCCATGAAAACCA